TACAAGTACTGTTGATTATATTTTTATTTTATTTATATAAACATGTGTTTTCTATTGATGTTTTTCTGGCTGAGAAGCAGCTAAGCCAGACTCTCATTTGAGAGAACCGGGTCTGAACCCTCAGTAAAGTGATTGGTTTTATTCTGGCAGGGACAATACAAAATTCTAACCTGCAAGTCTGCAATGACTGCGTCAGCCATGCTGCCCTAAATCTTCACACTCAAGACCTGCCAGCCCTAAAGAGGGTAAATACATACAGCAATGTCATTTCTCTTGCTAGACGATTGACACTCTCGCAGATATTGTAAATATTGGTCTATTGTCAGTCATTGTCTCAAGTACGCATGTGGCAGTCAGTTGTATGCAGGTACAAGCTGGTGTTTTATGTACATTTTTGAAAGTTTGATGTTTGCCCGTCATTTGTATCAAAATTTTGAAGTTCACTACAGAATTTATAATTTATTAAAACTCACTGATTTTGGACGAAAATAAACATTCATCTTTTTGTCTAGTTTCTGCGTTAATTTTTTAATTTTTTGCCTAAGTCACCTTCTAAGGCTGGGAGCCGCCAGGGTCTAGCGCCTAGTTGCTCACCAGGGGCCTGACTTTTTTCAAAAATGATCTTGGCTCCGAATTTGACCTAGCCTTGAGCGGGTACTAGGTACAGCCCTGGGAAGTGAAGGCAGCCGATGTGATGCTGATCACCTGACACACCAAGTGCCATTTGGTCTATAAAATATAGGTCTCGCCCCATATACCCAATTCGCCTCAAGTTGTGGAAAAGGGTCTTTTTTTTAACTAAACCTTTGAGACCAAACTTTCTCATGCAGATGTGGGGGGGGGGGGGGGGGGGGGGGGGGGGGTCATTGCCCCTAACAAGCATGTCATAAAAGGCAACCCATTTTAGAGTTTGCCAAAGTAGAACATGCTGGACCGAAAGGTGCAAATACTGCAACCTATTTGTAAACCGCAACACAACTTGTGAACACTGAAGAAACCAAACTGAAACTTCATTTGTTGAGTGCTTCATTTATTTTTTTCTTCTTTGTTGTCATATACACAAGATTTTGATTTTGTGACCTTTCTTCTTCTTAAGAGTCCATGCCGTGTGGCATTGGTAGTCATGTCTATAGTTATGTCTATCCACAACCTTCTGTCTTGTGTACTTTCAATCAATTCTGACACATATGATCTTCCATGGCATTATGTCAAACTGTCCAGCATCTGTTCTCTCATTCTCCCTCAGCCTCTCCAACTTTCCTACTGTCACGATCTACTCCAGTTTTCTCCTCATCACATGACCAAAGAATGTAGATCGTTTCTTTCTGATGTGGGCACTCGGTTCTCTTTGTGAGTCAGTTTCTTTCAAGACGTCTTCATTACTCTTTTATCTGTCTAGGGTATTCTCATTCGTCTATAAAACCACATCTCCGCAGCTTCCAAATAAGTTTTCACTAATTTACTCTGTCCATGATTCACACCCGTATATCAATGTAGAATTTATTTAGCTTTTATAATTTCTCTTTCTCGTCTCAATTGACAAAGAAAGGTTGCATAAAATATTCATCATTTTGTAAAATGCTGCCTTTGCTTGAGCTATTCAACATTTAACTTCTTTAATACATCTTCCAGCCGGAGTCTTTCTCGATATGAACTGCACAACTGTAACAAAGGGCAATGTACTTCAAACATCGGTGAAAGACGGCCTGTCGTAGTTTGAAAGAAGCCAAACGCAGCAATCTATAGAGAGGAGACGTCTGAGAGAAAACCAGCCTCAGAATGATAGTGTATCAACGTTTTTATCTAGGAAGGGAGCCGCAGTGGCGTAGCAGTTAGACGCTCGCCTGCGGATCCGAAGGTCACGGGTTCAAGACCTGATAAAGCTGGCATTTTTTTTCCCTTCAAAAATAACCTTGGCTGCCACCTCGACCTGACCTTAAATGTGGCGATACTGCAAGAGTTAGCAGATACCTGCCACTGTAGACGCCGAGATTAGTGCATTGATTGGTCAGCAACCACGCACAGAAGACGCCCTCATTAACTCGAGGGTCAAGATCAGTGTGAGCATACACAGCACAAAGAATGAGGGAAACCATAAAAGAGGACAGCGGCGCTTACCAGACAACTACGTCGAGCATGACCGTAGCGATAATTGCTGCTTCCAGAGCACTCGCTTGGGTAGCAGAATAGGCAGCCACACATGCAGTCATAGTTTCAGACTCCATGAACATGCCTCAGAAAATTGCTACAGTTAGTCTCTGCTCTGAATGGGTAGAAAGCATTCGGAAGCCACAGTTTCTTGCTTGCTACATACATCCAGTGTTAACATATGGCTGTAAGTCCTGGACAATCGGTAGGCAGGACAAACATTTTCTTGAAACCTCAGAGATGTGGTATTACAGAACAATGCTTAAAATATCCTGCATAATGAACGAACATCGAACTAGGTCGAGCGGTGCTTACTACGAGAAGACTAGTGAACAACATCGAACTATGGCAAGCGGTGCTCACTACAGGAAGACTAGTGAACGATCATCTAACTGGGGCGAGCAGTGCTCACTACAAGAAGACTGGTGAACGAACATCGAACTGGGGCAAGCTGTGCTCACTACAAGAAGACTGGTGAACGAACATCGAACTAGGGCGAGCGGTGTTCACTACAAGAAGACTAGTGAACGAACATCGAACTAGGGAGAGCGGTGTTCACTTCAAGAAGACTAGTGAACGAACATCAAACTAGGGCGAGCAGTGCTCACTACAAGAAGACTGGTAAACCAACATCGAACTGGGGCGTTCAGTGCTCACTACAAGAAGACTGGCGTACCGGCAGTGAACTGGGGCTACCAGTTCTCACTGCAAAAAGACTTGTAAATCGTCAATGAACTCGGACGAGCAGTGCTCACTACAAGAAGACTGGTGTATAGGCAATGAACTGGGGCAAGCAGTGCTCACAAGAAGACTTGTAAACCGCCAATGAACTCGGACGAGCAGTGCTCACTACAAGAAGACTGGTGAACCTATATCGAACTGGGACCGGCAGTGTTTACTACAAGAAGACTAGTGAACCAGCAAAACACTGGAGCGAGCAGTGCTTACTACTTGAAGACTGGTGAACGAACATCAAACTGGGGCGAGCGGTGCTTACTTCAAGAAGACTGGTGAACGAACATCGACATGGGGCCAGCGGTGCTCGCTACAAGAAGACTGGTGAACGAACACAGAACTGAGGAGAGCGGAGCTCAGTACTAGAAGACTAGTGAACGAACATCAAACTGGGGCGAGCGGTGCTCACTACAAGAAGACTGGTGAACGAACATCGAACTGGGGCGAGGGTGCTCACTACAAGAAGACTAGTAAACGGACATCGAACTGGGGCGAGCGATGCTTACTACAAGAAGGCTGGTAAACCAGCAATGAACTGGGTCGGGCAGTGCTCACTACAAGAAGACTAGTGAACGAACATCGAACCGAGGCGAGCGGTGCTCAGAGATGTGGTATTACATAACAATGCTTAAAATACCCTGGATCAAAAAAAAAAAAAAAAAAGCAACTAAGAAGTTTTGAGAGAGGCGGGAGCCCGAAGATAACTCCTCACAGACATCAGAAGAAGACGGTTATCATTTTTCGGCCATGTTATGAGGGAAAATGGAACACGTGGCGACCACTGGAAAGATATGTGGAAGGAGGGATAGAGGAAGAGAAGATTCTTGACAGTCTTGTTGCATGGCATGGAGGTGTGTCAGCACACGAACTATTACATGCTGCAGGAGATCGCAGATTGTGGCGAGGCATAATCACCCATACTAGTCGGCAAAGCACCTGATGATGATGATTCACTATTCGTATTCGTATTCGACCGAATAGTTGGTCTAGCTATTCGTATTAGGCCGAATAGTACAGCCCTAGTATCTACACACCTGGGTACGCAGGGGTAAATAGTCATGAAAGAGCTGAACAGCTGGCAAGTATAACCCTAGTGCAAACGGTAAGAAGCATGGACAGAGTTGATATCATCATCGCTGTACGGACTAGGCTGGGGGATAATGGCGAATCTATGACGTTAACACGATTGCGTGATCGAGGAGTTAAGCTTGAAGCACGACTGTGCTATCTTCGAGGGAAAGAGAGGAGATTCCATAATCAACCCCTTATGAAACCGTCAGTAGAGGTACCTGGTGATGCCCAATTACAGAAACGTCGACTGTGATAAAATTACACTGTTTTTCCCCCGCATTACCACTGTAGTTAAAAAGAGGTTCATATGGTTACCAACGGGCTGAACAAGTCACGGAAAGATGACACCTTCATCATACTCCGGAAAGTAGTAGAACTAGCCACCAGAACTCAGAAGGGGAAAGCCGGCGGTATTGACAACATTCTAGCTGAGATCCTCAACGTTATTGGGGATTGGGGGGAGGGGGGGGGGTGGGGGAGGTGGAGATGTTATTGACATCCTCAACAAAATTTGTCGGCTTTGTGGCTAAGTCGATGCGAACGCTTCGTAATGCCGAGTTCGATCCCAGCTGCGGGCCATGAGCCTTGCGTTGGTTTCGACAGTGGTACCAAGAAAGCCGACTGTCCAGGAACAATGGCAAACTACTGGACGTAAATTTGCCTAGAAAAACCCCACAACAGCCAGGGGCTGTTGGGATTGGTTCTGCAACGTCATGTAAAGGATACGCAACCAACTAACAAAATTTGGGTGACGGTGAATGGCAGCTACTAGAACTATAATTTAAAATCCACGTATGGGTTTCGGAGCCTCACTGTGGGGAAAACAAAAATAGATAAACCGCCTCCCCAAAAAGCATGTCGTAAGTGTTAACTAGCTGGGGAAATCTTTCATTTGCCTGAGAGGCAGGGAACCAACAGTCTGCATACAAATAAACCTGATCTGTAAAACAGAAAAAGAAGAAGGAAAATAAATAAAAGAAAGCGAAAGTGGCGATAACGACCATGTAGCAAACGATCGGCTAGGTCACATGATCCAAATCTGAAATATGGCGGACGGTAAGTGTTCTGGTTTCATGGAAGTGCTTATCTCTGCATGTTGTTGTTTTTTGCGCTGTGAATGAGCTTCCGGCAGAAAGGAGGCGTCTGGAAGAGGATTATCTGGAGCTACGATTAGTATTGATAAAAGACCCGCTGATAATGGCCTGCTACACTCACACGCATACAGAATGAGTCAGAATAGCAATATGATGTGAATGTGTATCGTTTAATATTATATTATATTATACTATTTATTGACGTATCTCAATCTGATTATATCATTATTTATTAATTTATAATTATTTTGTGTTATGCTAATAAAATCTGGTTGTTGTTGGCAAATTAAACATTTTTAGGGTTGTATTTCATACTAAAATACTTTAAAACAAAAGCAATAAGATGATCACTTGATCTTGCTAAAAAGAGTGGAATATCTACAAGGATGGCAGTGAAAAGGGAGGAAGAGGAGATGATATTCTTTGGAAGAGAAGTCCCCTTCCAGGGACAACTTCAAGAATCTGACATTCTGGCATTTTGTGTCTTCCTTTTTATATTTCTTGTCTGTCTATTTTCCCTACTTGGTCATCTTCTTCTTCTTCGTTCGCATTCACCAGCTGTACACTCTGGCGGAAAGTTCTGGTTGATCGTCCACTACTAAATTGCAGTCCTGCTCCAGAACCTGAGTGTTGCGTGTTTTACAGATCTCATTCTCTTGAATGCAGACTGTTGGTTCCTTGCCTCTCCGGCAGATGGACTCTTGACTTCAAAGGAAGCTCCCCAATTAGTTGACTCTTAGGACATGCTTTTGGGGAGGCAGTGGGTCTATTCTTGTTTTCCCCACAATGGGGCCCCGGAACCCACACAGGGGCCTACTTGGTCATGATTGAGACTCATCACGTTTGAATTTTTAAAAAAAATCTGTCCAAAAAGCTGTGTGGGAGAGGGTACAGTTTGGAGGAGCAAATGGATCACCACAGTCTGATGAAACAGATGCAGCGGGGAGTGATGAGGGGTTCTGGCTGATGCTCGATGCTCAGAGAAAAGGCAGGGCAGATGTTTAAATAATATGCTACTGGTATAATTGGTATTGGAACTATTTGCTGGCTACTGAAGATGGGGACAGAGCGATTATGGGAATGCCCCGAGTGCTGTGATGTCAGTTCTTGAATCAGCTTAACTCAACTCTGTCCAAAAAACTTTGTTTTTGTTTTCGGCTCAGGATGTTTCAGAAAATGAAACATAGTTTGGTTATTCCAGACATTGCTGTTACGGCTTTATATGCTTTGTTTGGGTGGAACATTTCAAGGGTAGCAGGAGCTGTCTTGACTCATTTTGACTTATGCAGGTTCTCACAGTTGAGTCAAATCACAGAGGACAAACATAAAGATTCCAATTCGTCCAACAAAAATTCCAAATTTGATCCTCTTTCAGCCGCCCGGAGGCCTGCTATATCCAAGAAGGTTCTTTAGCTGTCTTATATGGTTTCCTTTTATTTGTGGTGTGTAGTCACACCTGATATTACGGTTGTTTGCTTCCTTGCTGTGCAGCGGTGATTGTGGTTTTTGGTTCTGGTGTAGTCCAGATCTCTTTGTGATGATATCGAGGGGTACTAGCTGACTGTTGCTGGTGCTTGGCTTGCCTCATGCTGGTCGCTGTGCTGGTGCCCTGTTGCTGCTTGGTTGCCGATCTGCAGGCCGCCGGAAAAAGCCAAACAAACATCGGATCACGTCGTCATGAACAATGTTCTCTTTCAGGACAACCAGGGCCGTCACAATCTGTTGTTGTGATCAGCCTGTTTTTTTTTTTTTTCCACGGAGTGTGGAGAAGTAGTGGAGGTAAGATAGACTGCAAATGAGAGATCAAATTTGCTTGAATGTGCCAGGAGATGTGATAGTTAGGTCGGGAGAATGAGAGTGACAGATAGAGGTAGGATCCACCCTGGACGGTTGAGGTCACTTGGTCTGAAATAAAAGTGAAAGGCATTTGTTAAAATACACGTGAGGTGGGGTGGCATGATGGTGACTGGAGTTCCCAAGGGCTGGTCCCCTTAGGTGCAATGTGCTGGTGATCCTGGTGTTTCAGTCGTTATGGGCACAGTTTCCATTTTCAACGGTAATTGTAAAAGTTCTCAAATTTATTTAGAGGTTAAACGCACCCCCTAGGTTTCGGTTTAAAAAGGTTTATAATGTAGATTATAATTACCTAGGGCGTTGTTCCTTCCTCTGGTGATTCTTGGATACACTGGTCACTGGTGTAGATCTTTGTTGCTGGTAGTAGTCGCTTGGCTAGATGCGTACACGGGCTGCTAATGACCCAAACGCAGCCGACTCCGATAGCTTAGTCGAGACAGAGTCAGCCGAATATCAAGCGAGTCTGTCCAGTAGCTAGCTATAGAAAATCAGGCAACGATTGGATAGTTAGCGGGCGACGTGATCAGGCGAGGCGTGCTTGGGCGTTCAACGTCTTGCTCGAACAAAGGCAGTCAGCGAATGGGGGGGGGGGGGGGGGGGGGGGGTGGGGGGGGGGGGGGGGTGGGGGGGGGGGTGGGGGGGGGGGGGGGGGGGGGGGGGGGGGGGGGGGGGGGGGGGGGGGGGGGGGGGGGGGGGGGGGGGGGGGGGGGGAATGAAGCTTTGATTGACAAACATAAAGAAACAGATATTGTATTTAAATAGGGTGTGTTGTACCTAGTTGAACTTATTCCAAAGTGGACGAATACTGAGGCTTCACTGTATTTATGTGGTTGATAGTAAGATTGTGCTGGTTCCTGATATATTCATCTTCACATGGACTGTGAGAACATCACGTCCTCATGTTGGTTCTGGGACTCCATTGTGGGGAAAACAAGAACAGACCCACTGTCTCCCCAAAAACAAGAACAGACCCACTGTCTCCCCAACAAGCATGTCATAAGAGTCAACTAACTGGGGGGCTTCCTTTGAAGTCAGAGTGCATCTGCCTAAGAGGCAAGGAACCAACAATCTGCATACACATGAGTCATATCTGGAAAAGGACTAAGATCCAGAGATTGGCAGTAATCGGAACATTCTGCTGGTGATCATGGAGAAGAAGTATCATCATCTGACTTGAACGTTGGCTTTAACTTTCTTTCCAGATGAAGTAGCCAAATTACAGAATCACCTTGCCCTTTTGCGAGAAGAATACGTGAAGCTTCAGAACAGACTAGCGGACGTCGAGAGAAAATACCAGGTGGCGCTGGCAGCTGGCGGGAACAGCGGAGAATTTCAGGATGGCTTTGTGTCACGTCTGCTGCGATTTATTGCAGATCTGTTTGATAAGGAGCAGTACAGGTAGGACATGAGTGTGACACTGTTTAGGATATTTGTGTCGTAGGTTAGGGCATTTGGGTCACATCAATTAGGACATTTCTGTAACATTGGCTAGGGCATATTGTTGATTAAAAGGTGTTTTGTTCATTTTTGTTAGGACATTAGTAGGACATTGATTAAGGAATTTGGTATAATATTGGTTAGGACATTAACATAAGATTGGTAAGAACTGTTTTATGCTATTCTTCTTTTTCTTAGCTTTCACTGGCTGTCCATCAGAAAGTTCTGGTTGTTTGTCCACTTCTGGACTTTAGTCTTTTTCCAGAATTTGACTTTTACATGCACCTTTGTTTTGCAGATCCAGCTTATTTGTTGGCCTTGTACACCATGCTTGTTAGGGTGGCAGTGGGTCTGTTCGTGGGCCCCCCCATAATAGGGCCCAGGAACCCACACATGATTTTGTGCTTTTGATTAGATATTTATCCCCACCTCTCAACTCCCCCTCCAACCTCCCATGCCTTCTTTATCTTCACTTCCTCTGACACCGCTTCGGGTATTGAGGGAGATATAGGGCTTTCTTGCTCTTCTGGCTGTCTCAACTGTAGACACATTGTGCTTTTGTAGAGTTTCTCTGTTGTTATCTTTCCATCTTGTTCTTGGTCTATCTCGTGGTATTCATCCATCTCCTCTTTTGGTTTATGCCTTGTAGGTATGGCATCACAAGGCATTCTCTCCAAGTGGGTAAACCATTTGATTTGCTGTTTTTGTATGTAATTTAGAATTGGTTCTGTGCCAAATTTTTCTCTTATGACCTCAATTCTGATTTTACCTTTTCTGGTCACTCCTACAGACCTTCTCAGACATCTCATTTGCATGGCTACTAATTTTCTGTTCTGGTTTTTTGTGAGCGACCAGACCTGGCACTGGTACTATAGGTCCCCCCCCCCCCCTTCCCAACTAATGCCTACTCTTTCCATCCTTGTTTATACTGCAAGAAGTTACCAGGGGATCTGGTCCACCCTCGCCACTTAGGGGAAGGGTGAGACGGATATACAATTAGACAGTTACTGGTACCTTCGGAATCTGATCTTGTTGCTTGCTGCAATAGGAATGTCCTGAATGATGTGATATCGATTCTTCATTCAACATCCTTGTCTATGCTTTTCCTCAAAGGTTGTGTCACTGATCTCTGTCCCCAAGAATGTATCTGTGTTCACTATCAACTGGGTACTTTCTGCAGTCCATGTTTGATGCTCTAGACGCTTGCCTGCAGATCACAAGGTTGTGGGTTCGAGTCCTCACGGAGCCGGACTTTTTCTTTTTTGCCAAATGACCGTGGCTCCCAGGTTGACCAAGCCTTGAGTGGGTACCAGGTGCAGTCCTGGGAAGTAAAGGCAGCTAACATGATGCTGACTTCATCATGCACCTAGTGCCGATTTGTCTGTAAATGATAGGTCTAGCTGTATATGCCCAAAAGCTTGAAGGCGTATAAAATGGTCTTTTACTTACTTTACTTTGCTTACTTATGTTTGATGCTATTAGCGTATCGCATCCGATTTTTGTTGCCTTGGAGACAAAGTCAAGTTCATAAAAGGTAAAGGTAAAGTCGGGAGATTTGAACTGGCGTCACTGCACATGGATATAAACCATAAGTGCTCTGCCACCGGTACGGACAGCTGATAAGAAACTGTCCGCCTCTGTGGCCGTCCGCATGCAACTCCATAGCTACAGCGATGTTCCTCCATTTACCCCAAAGTGTTAACCCTGGTACCCATTACCCAGAGGCTGGGTGAACCCCGGGAACCGCCTGGTTTCGAACACCGGCTGTGGGCTGCAGCGAGTTGCAGCTGGGTTTGAAAGTGAGTCTCCTATCGACTGCGCTAACGCAAGTTCGTGGTAAGATTCAACTGAACTCAAGTCCAAGAGCCAATAATTTTATCCGAGAATTGCAAGTGCCTGTTGCTTGTCTACAGTGATCTGCTGATTGAGCTCGAGGGAGGCCATGATGTCAAGGCACACAAATTCATCCTGTCTGCTCGAGGAGATTCTTGGGGCGTGGCTGACCTGGCCGCTGTGTCTGTACTGGATATGACAGGTTGGCTTGTGGCAGTTGGTTGTTGTTTAGAGAATGACATACTGGCAGCTGTATCTGTGCTATATATGACAGAATAGCTTTTAGCGGTTGTTTGTTGTTTATAGAATGACAGACCGCAAAAGTGTTGTTTGCACTTGTGATCAGTTTTCTCTTATTTGGTTATTCTACTTTTCATCTTCGCTTTCAGTGATTTTTTATTTTATTTGAGAAGGCCGCAGACTTTTTATTAATAAAGTCTGTTGTGCTGTGGATGTCTTTCACTTTTCCATCCATCTTGGTTTCCTTTGGAATTCCAACCAGCCATACCTGAAACCTCTCTGCTGCATGTAGAGAGCATATAAGTAGCACATGTTCGGTATTCTGTGGTGCTTTTTAACCTTGTCACACTGAAAAGCTGCAAAACTGATACTTCCGGTTGGGGCCAGTTCTCCATAAATGTTACATTTCTGACTTGTCTATAATTTCCTGTATATAAGATGTATGTATAGTTACTGCTATTGGCTCCATTCACACCTACGCAAATGTCTAGGAGGTCATGATATGAATATATATTAACTAAATATAGCACTTGGAGGGGTAAAGTTTTGAAACCAAATGAATTTTTTTTAAAGCCAAGTTAATGTCAAATATGCCCATAAGCCTCAGTGATAGAGGTTACGGTGTCAGGGCTTGAGTCACATGATACAAATATTTGGTTAGGCCCCAGCGAATGTATTCTGTTTACTGCTTCGGAGTTTATTGATTATTCCCTTGATATATCTGTATATTTTTTTAAATGGTTGAAAAGATATATATAAGTAAGTTAAAACAAAATGCTGTGTAAAAATGTTGTTTAAATGATTTTTAAATTTTATTTTGTGAATTTACATGGGGTCATGACCCATATTTTTGTTAGCATTATTGGGGTGACAAGGTGAAGGGCGAACTCATTAGAAGAAAAGGAAGTATCGAATGTTAGCCTGCTTTTAGCCTTGTTTTGTATCCAGCGGATATTTTCAGATATCCGGCATGATGTGGCCTATGCTCTACTGCGATGGATTTACACTGACGAGATAAACATCAAAGCCCAGGACTCCTTTCTGCTAGAGCTGCTGAGGGCGGCCACCCGGTTCAAGCTGGAGGAGCTTCGCAGCAGGTCAGCACCGTTACATGAAACCTTGATATCTGTTGGTATTGGCTTCATATCTCTGAGTGCTTACTGTTCTTCTTCTTCCGTTTATCCTCCTGCATTTAATGTATAAGGCACCACCAGTTCTACAACACAAGACCACTTACCAGTTTAAAAAAAAATCTGGACCTCTCCACACAAATCACACGGGGCACACTCAAGAGCATTCCAGATGAAGTCTACAGCTCATACTGTCTGTCGTGCCATGTCCTTAACTCAGTAGCTGGGTGACACAACTACACATTTTCTGTCCACATATATACTCAAGTTCTGGAACAGCCGGTAAACGCGAAGAAGAAAAGAAGTTTGATTCATTCATAATTCATACATTCTAAGTACTTTATTTTGTTTGATTGTCTGAGATGTTGGAATAATCATACTCCTCCTTGTGGGTTCCAGGGCCCTATTATAGGAAAAACGAGTAGACCCATTGCCTACCCAAAAGCCTGTCGTAAGAGTCGACTAATTAAGAGCTTCCTTCGAAGTCAGAGTGCATCTGCAGAGGCAAGGAACCAACAGTCTGCACACAAATGTGTCAGATCTGTCAAACGGATACACATGCAACACTCAGGTTCTAGAACAGGACTGCAGTTCAGAAGTGGGCAAACAACCAGAACTTTCCACCAGAGTTTACAGCTGGTGACCGTGAAGAAGAAAAAGATTATCAAAGTTTGCAAGTTTTCTAGAGAAAAAATTCCCAGTACCACCAGAAAAAAGCTCAGAGAGTATTTAGTCAGTTCATTTCTAGTGCTCTATATAACCACTGGGTCAAAAATGAGGTTCATTTCTAGTGCTCTATATAACTACTGGGTCAGAGATTGGGATAATTTCTAGTGCTCTATATAACTACTGGGTCAGAACTGAAGTTCATTTCTAGTGCTCTATATAACCACTGGGTCATAACTGAAGTTCATTTCTAGTGCTCTATATAACCACTGGGTCAGAACTGAAGTTCATTTCTAGTGCTCTATATAACCACTGGGTCAGAACTGAGGTTCATTTCTAGTGCTCTATATAACTACTGGGTCAGAAATTGGGATAATTTCTAGTGCTCTATATAACCACTGGGTCAGAAATTGGGATAATTTCTAGTGCTCTATATAACCACTGGGTCATAACTGAGGTTCATTTCTAGTGCTCTATATAACCACTGGGTCATAACTGAAGCTCATTTCTAGTGCTCTATATAACCACTGGGTCATAACTGAGGTTCATTTCTAGTGCTCTATATAACCACTGGGTCAGAACTGAAGTTCATTTCTAGTGCTCTATATAACCACTGGGTCATAACTGAAGTTCATTTCTAGTGCTCTATATAACCACTGGGTCATAACTAAGGTTCATTTCTAGTGCTCTATATAACCACTGGGTCATAACTGAGGTTCATTTCTAGTGCTCTATATAACCACTGGGTCATAACTGAAGTTCATTTCTAGTGCTCTATATAACCACTGGGTCAGAACTGAGGTTCATTTCTAGTGCTCTATATAACCACTGGGTCATAACTGAAGTTCATTTCTAGTGCTCTATATAACCACTGGGTCATAACTGAAGTTCATTTCTAGTGCTCTACATAACCACTGAGTCAGAACTGAGGTTCATTTCTAGTGCTCTACATAACCACTGAGTCAGAACTGAAGTTCATTTCTAGTGCTCTATATAACCACTGGGTCATAACTGAAGTTCATTTCTAGTGCTCTATATAACCACTGGGTCATAACTGAAGTTCATTTCTAGTGCTCTATATAACCACTGGGTCATAACTGAAGTTCATTTCTAGTGCTCTACATAACCACTGAGTCAGAACTGAGGTTCATTTCTAGTGCTCTACATAACCACTGAGTCAGAACTGAAGTTCATTTCTAGTGCTCTATATAACCACTGGGTCAGAAATTAGGTTTATTTCTAGTGCTCTTTATAACCACTGGGTCAGAAGTGTGATCTTTTGGGACAGCTTCAGTTGGTTGTTGATGATCTAAAGTTGTGGAAATTTTTTGGGTCTCTCTGAGATGTTGGGATAATCTGATGTCTGTCTATTGCAGGTGTGAGAGCGGTCTGATGTCCTTTGTGAACATGAAGAACTGCATCGTCTTCTATCAGACAGCTGAAGAAATGCAGGCGGACATTTTGAAGAAGCACTGTTCCGAGCTGATATCATCACATTGGGTGAGTTTGTAAAGTGAAAGTAAAGGACCCTTTTCCACACCTTTGGGCATATAGGGCTAGACCTATATTTTATAGACCAATTGGCACTTGGTGGGTGATGTGGTCAGCATCATGCTGGTTGCTTTTACTGCCCAAGGTGAGTTTTGGGGATTCACTCAGTTAATGTGGTCTTTGAGTTATCTGTAGTTGTTATGTGTAGCCATTATCTGTAGTTGTTATATTTTGGCCATTGTCTGTAGTTGTTATATTTTGGCCATTGTCTGTAGTTGTTATTTGTAGCCATTATCTTTGGTTGTTATATTTTGGCCATTATCTTTAGTTGTTTTGTGTAGCCATTATCTGTAAGTTGTTATCTGTAGCCATTATGTGTAGCTGTTATCAGAAGTAATTTTGTTTGTTTTTAGCTCTTATCTGTAGTAATAATGTGAAGTCACCTATAGAAAGCCCAGTTCCAGACTGCCGTGTGTCAGCTCTGCATTTAAAGAAGCCTCCATGGACTGAGGGCAGTGCTGGTGTTCTGCCTTCTCTCGAGGGCCCAGCATCATTGTGGGGCTGCTCTGGCGGAGCCTTGGTCGTGTTTTTTCAGAACCTGAGTTTTGTGTGCTCATCCGTTGTTTAGATCTTGCCAATTTGTATGCGTATTGTTAGTTCCTGACCACTGAGGCAGATGCACTCTGACTTGATAGGAAACACCCCAAACTAGTCGCCTTTTATGATATGCTTGTTTTTTGGGGGTGGGGGGGGGGGGGGGGTTCTGTGGGTCCCCCTTCTTTCCACTATCAATATAGGGCCTTGGAACTCATGAGATTTCTGCTTCTTGAATCAGAGGGTATTTTTTCTCTGGGGTTAAGAGTTAAAAGAAATGGCAAACTACTGAACATAAATTAGCCTAGAAAAACTGCAAGAGCTGAACAAATGCTGGGGTTGGTTCTGTGAAGGACAGGCTACTAACTATTTCAAAGTTGATAGAATTTGTGGATTTGAACCCTGATACAGTCTGCTTATGTTTCTGCTATCCAGGATGAGTTCACTGGAGAAGATTTTGCTCACATGCCTGCGCCACTTCTCTACAAAATGTTCAAAACCAAGACGGAGTACCCGCTGCACACTGCCATCAGAACTGAGCGGGAGGATGTGGTGTTTCTCTATCTCATTGAGTTCGATTCTCAGGTAGGAGTTGTTGGAAAGAGAGAGAGAGTGTGAGAGAAAGAGAGAACAGACAAATGAACGAATTGACAAACTTTTTTTTTCAGAGGGTTAGAAATTGGGCATGTAGGCGTGTCTTACATTCAATCATTCCAAACACTGTCTTTCAGACCAGAATTGTATGTTATTAGTAAAGCATGCTATGTTTATATAACAATATACGTAATGAATATCATTTAAAAAAAAACGAAGCATGAATGGTAAATGCATGCCTTCAAATAAACATACATACATATGTACGTACTTACATACATACATACACAGAGAAAGGGTATATGCTGTTTTATTTTATAATTGGTACAGTTGTCACATATAGTGGTGTTTGGATAGTTTTGAACTTGAGAGAGGGAGATAATCCTTTTGATGTGTGTGTGAATCCAGAGAAATTGAGAAAGAGAGGTGAAATGCAGTAAACAGAATGAGGTAATTTTGTACCTTAGATAGTTGGATGCCCATATATCACTGGGCCCCTCTCAGGAGGCAAAGAGTAGTAACACTGCACCCTACCATGCATGTCATAAGAGGCAACTAAGGCAAGGGTTGGGCTTGAGGTCGGCTGCTCATCCGGAAAAAACAATATTCACAAAAACCAGCCAACCTTGAACAAGTCAAAAAGAGAAACAAGAAAAACCCAGCCAACCAGGACAAGAGGGAGGCTCTTCCAGTAGAAGAAGTATGACACGGTGTGGAGAAAGCCGAAAGGGGTCCGGATTGTCGACGTAAGGGAGCTAGAGAGAGAAGTTGAAAAGATGGGAAGAGCTGCATGCGATAGCGAAGGATGGAACGACTTGGTGTGATTTGGTTGAGGGCCTGTGCTCCATTGGGGGTTAGAAAGACAGAAGGGGAAGAAGATAGTTTGCTTTCAAAATGAACATTGAAGATAGGACTGAAATCAGCTCATCCATTTTATTTAAGAGGAACAGGTAAAATGGTTTGGCCATCTGACAAAATATCCATGGTACCATCTGCAACAGAGAGGCAGGCTGAAGAAATGTAATGAACACAGAGTACAGGAAAAACTAGATGGAATGAGGGTTTCAAGAGCTGTCACAAAGTAGTGAATATCACTTGAAACCATGCACTGGTAAGAGCTTACAGAACATCCGTGATACTCCCCACCCATCTCCCCCAGCACTTTGATATGAGAAAACTGGAGGAACAGAAACAGAGGGTAGTTAGATAGAAATTAATGTGTGATTGGGTGGATAGTGGGGTGAAGGTTATTGGGATGGATGGATTACTTGATGGACAAATGTACAAATCAGCAGGCAGGCTGAGATAAATGATATACATTGAGAGAGCTGGAGTGAAAGAAAAAAACATTGTTGATTGAGAGAGAGAATATGGAAGATAAGTATGTGTGGTTCCTGAGTGTCATTGTCGACAATGAAAGTCAATTACTGTTCTGTTTATCATCATCATCATGTAGCAGGTCCTTTGCAGAACGTCGCTCTCATCACAGTCTGCCTAAAAGAAACTTGGTCTCTTGTCAGCTCTCCCGCCTCATGTACTTTCATACTCAAGGAGTCACTTATATCCTGTGCCCATCATCATGATGGTCGGCCCCTGCCCCTCGTTTCTGGTACCATACCTTCTGCTATAATTTTTTCAAATCCTAAATGGCGCTTGATATGACCAAAAATTTTCAGCTTCCAAGACAGGATGCTGTTTATTAGTCAATCTTCCTTGATGTTAAGATCTTTCAAGATGTCAGTATTTATACTCTTCTTTGTCCAAGATATTTTGAGAATCTTTCTGTATCATTTCAGCTCAAAAGCCCCTATTCTCTTTCTTAAGGACTAGGAGATACTCCATGACTCACATCAGTTACTGAGTGTAATTGTTGACAAAGAAAGTCAATAACTATTCTGTTTATACCAGACATAATTACGTGGTTCAAACTCAAGTTGGCATTGATCGTCATTGTGCTTTGTGCCGTTATATGTCACATAGGGCTCATATTCTTTTCTTACATTCTGTTCTTTGCTGTGCAGTCATTTCAGTATCATGGCCCAGCACCTTTGGCCTCCCTCATTGGGGATTTCTTCCTCGGTAGTTTATTTCCCATTGCTATGCCTCTTTGGTGAATGTGGGCTTGTTTCTTCTCAGGATGTATCACTTTTTTCTTTGTTTTATAACTAAACTGTTATTACCAGTAATTGTTCCCCATGTAGGTTCTCTGAACCCCCCCCCCCCCCATTGGGCATTGGTCATTATTTTTATTGTTGCAGCTGTCGGTGAAGGTTAATGAGGTGGACAACAAAGGAGACTTGTCCCTGGACCTCGCCTTGAAGAGCCAGCAGCGGGGGATTGCACAGACTCTTGTAGCCAACAAGGCGGACGTCAACCGCAAGGACAACTCCGGGAAATGCTTATTGTACAAGGCTATACAGAGAGGTTGGTGGTTGTGTAGAACATCCTTATGTCCGACAGATCTAATCTGGACTGGTTATATAGTTCTTAATCATATTTAGAATTTGGTTTGATGATTTGAACAACGGATCAACATCATGGCACAAGGGTTAACCCAATAGGGCTCCATTATAGTTCTTACCTGAGTCCTAAAGTTCTCAGCTCAGTGCACGAACTCCGTAGCACTGGTGAGGATCCTGAAATACTTTGGGTAGATTTTTAACCTAAAATTTTGCCCGGGCAGTTCTGTTAGCTACTCTTTATATTTCCAACTGCCACGGGATTTTTTATGTGCGCAACAATACACACGGGCATCCGATCTTACTACCCAGATCAGGGGAAATTACTAGAAGACCACGTGATTAAAATCCCAGCCTTCACTGGAGCCTGAATCTGGGATCTTTAGCACTCGAGGTGGATGCTATGAGTGACTCAAGACTATATATATTTAGATTTGTTTTTGTCCCTCTGTTGATTGATTAAAGCTTATGTCTAGATTGGCTATAGATCTTGCAACACTGGGTCTGGTCATAGCTCTCATGTAGACTGGTTGTAGGTTATAGCTAATGAATCTGGACTGGTTATAGCTTATTTCTAGACTGGTTGTGGCTCATGTCTAGACTAGTTATAACTAATGCCTCTACTCATATGCTTGTTATATCTCTCATTTAGGCTGGTTATAGCTTATTTAAGATCTGGACCGATTATAGTTTACAGTGTGTGCGCCTCACTATGGAAACAAGTGCACTAAGAACAAGGTCAACTAGGCACCCCAAAAAAAGGTGTTTTCATTGGCCATGTCTATTGTATAGCTTGAAATCCACAACTAGGGGAATATGGACAGAATTCATCTCAAACCATTTAAATGACACCATAGGTTACAGAAATTTAGATTAAAGATGCATAGGTCGAATAAAGAACAATTTACAAACACAGTAGACCGTAATTGTCTAGACTGGTTGGTTATAGCTTTTGTCTAGACTGGTTATAGCTTATGTCTAGACTGGTTATAGCTTATGTCTAGACTGGTTATAGCTTATGTCTAGACTGGTTATAGCTTATGTCTAGACTGGTTATAGCTTATGTCTAGACTGGTTATAGCTTATGTCTAGACTGGTTATAGCTTATGTCTAGACTGGTTATAGCTTATGTCTAGACTGGTTATAGCTTATGTCTAGACTGGTTATAGCTTATGTCTAGACTGGTTATAGCTTATGTCTAGACTGGTTATAGCTTATGTCTTGAATCATAGGCTATATCTCATGCAAGTGGTTATGGCGTTCATGTAGACTGGCTATAGGTTATAGCTTATGTCTAGACTGGTTATAGCTTATGTCTAGACTGGTTATAGCTTATGTCTTGAATCATAGGCTATATCTCATGCAACTGGTTATGGCGTTCATGTACACTGGCTATAGGTTATAGCTTTTGTCTAGACTGGTTATAGCTTATGTCTAGACTGGTTATAGCTTATGTCTTGAATCATAGGCTATATCTCATGCAACTGGTTATGGCTTTCATGTAGACTGGCTATAGGTTATAGCTTATGCAAGATCTAAACTGGTTATAGCTTATGTCTGGATATGTATACTAGTTATGGCTCTTAGGTAGATGGTTATAGTTTATATCTGGACTGGTTATAGCTCTCATGTAAACTGGATAAAGCACATGACCAGGCTAATCATAGCTGATGCACCAACTGACCTGTCGACCTTAGACAGCAACTGCCAGTACAGGTGTTGAGCTGTATAAATCTGATGTGAAAGCAAGAGAGCGCTCAAGGAAAACATGGATTGATGGTATTAACGAACCTTATCGCTCCGAGAAGGCTACATCTAGTCACTTTCATTTGTAAGACAATCCCATAAATGCCGATATATGATCATTTCTGCAGTGGTGTGCTCTCAGAAAGCATAGTTAAATGCCATTGGTTCTGACTGTGCCTGCGCATTGTTTAGAAGGGCCAGATGTAAATATATTAACTAAATGTAGCATTTATAGAGGTTTCCTTGTGACCCCATGGGCTTTTTTCGCAGCCGGGTACCATAAAAAGTTCCCATAAGCCTCAATGATAAAGGTCGCGGGTCATGGCTTGAGTCAGCCAATACATATATATTAGTTCCTGGGGAAGGCATTCCTTTAATGCTTCACTCAGTTCTTGTTTATTGATGACCCCCATCTTTCTTTATTTTGAAAATTTAAAAAACCCTGTAAAAACTAGTTAAATAAATTTGTATACAGTTTATTAGTTCTTTCTGTAGAATATTTACTTTTTTTGGAGGATTTTTCTGAAATTCCCACGGGTTTATGACATCCATTGTTTTATCAGTAACAGGGCAAAAGGGTTAAAGACATTTGTTCGCACATAGGAAAACAGCTGTTGCTTTCCCTGTCTTGCCTTTGTTGTCAGAGGATATTATCAGAAAAGACAGCAATTTAAAGCAGAAATACCGTGAAAGAAGCCAAGGAGAGTTCTGGATGTAGGTATTATCAGAAAACAGTGCTATTGGCAAGGTTGCAGGGCATTGTCAATGTACACTTACATTAAAGAAAAATAGATACAGGAATTAACTTTCTGAGTCAAGTAATTTGAGGGTAAAATTAACTAAATTTTCCATAAACATCAATAAAATAATGAAAAATTAATCCGAACAGTTTCATTCACTGCATTAAAGATAATTGAACATTAAATTTGCACTGTTTTTTTCTTTTTTTTCTCCTAAGTATTCAGACCACTTTAAGGGTAGATGTGCAGCAACATTTGTTGTTGTTGCCCTACATGGGTGCCACGGCGAAAAAAGTTTGAGAACCTCTGGTATAAGGGACTAATTAGAACTTTGTTGAAATTGGTTCTGTTGGGGTGAAAAGTGCAGATATTGCGGTGTGGCTGTGAACTACAGCACAATATACCAGCCGCCTTCTTAAGAGTAGATGCTGAAGAAGAAGAAATACGAAAATTATTTTAATGATTCTGTTGTATATTTTTTAGGTGATGAGTTTGCGGCAGAGTTTTTAATTAACAACGGCTGTGATGTGAACATTGCCACCCACCTGGATAAAGAGACTCCTTTGCATATGGTGTCTAGGTTTGATCCCAAGGTGAGTTGTCTAATAGTGCACTACAGTTTGATGGAAGATGGGGAAAATGAGGGGTAAATTAAAAAAAAAATATAGATATTTTTTATGTCAGCGAATTTCCCTTGGGATAAAAAACAAACATAAAAAAATTGCAACACACGGAGAAGGGGGACTAGAGAATGAAGTTCAAAAGTTGGGGAGAGCATTCTTCTTCTTTTGTTCCCCTGAAATAGGTTGTCTATATTAGCAAATTTGTCTCTCGTATAAATTTCACTGTTATTTTTGGTTTGTTCAGTGGTCTATAGAGTTTATGTTCCACTGTTGTTCTTTCTGGCCAATAGGTTTGCCTTAATGTATCAAATTCGTGCAGTGGCAAGCATCACTTCAGAATTCCTGGGTAGTTAGTATACTTTGTATATTCTCTCCAAGTTATGCTGATGTGTTGGGAAATGAGCAGGCAGATAGACTGGCTGGCTCTGCACCACTTGGTGGTGAATTGATGTATCTCAAGTTAGATACTGTGAGGGCTTTTGAAAGCGAGTAAACAGTGTGGAGGCGCAGATAGGTCACAGTCTGAGGAGAATGGCGCTGCAAGGAGTTACCAGGGGATCTGGCCAATGCACAATACTCAGGGGAAGGATGAGATATATACAGTCAGACGGTTACTGGTACCATCAGAATTGGAATTCTTCGCTTGCCTCTGAATATGGGGACTGAGCACCTACGGGAGTGTCCCAAGTGCTGTGATGTCAATTCGTAATTCAACATTCAACATATCAAATTCAGTGCTGTTTTGATGTCTGGGGCACCTTTCCCCAGGTGCACATGGTGGATACGCTTATCTTGAATTTAGTGTATGTGTAGTTACGTAATCAGTTGTGCCCTGTTCCAAAGTGAAGGGTAATGACTTGTGATGATCTGTCCATAATAAAATAGTCATCTTGTGCTGGGGCTGGTGATTTCCTGATTAATTTAATGATCCTTTTCTTTTGGTGTTATGTAACTGGTATGGCTGGCTGCTTTTTTTTTTTGTCGCACCTTCTCCTGCCAATTGATCAGCTTTCACATTTCCAGGCACTCCACAATGGGACGGTATCCACTGCCTTGCAACTCTCTGCTGACATCTGAGTTGTATCAGCAGTGTTTGCAATTCTAGTAGTTCTCCAGACTGGAGTGCTTCAAGTACGGGGAGGACATTGGGTAAAATCTACTGACTCTCTGTGTGGGTTCTGGGGTCTCATTATGGGGAGAGAAAAAAAATGAGAATAGACACACTGCCTCCCTAACAAGCATGTCATAAGAGTCAGCTAGTCAAAGATTTCCTTTGAAGTCAAAGTGCATTTGCCTGTGAGGCAAGGAACCAGCAGTCTGCTTTTAAATAAGTCATATCTGTGAAACAGATTTGCATGCTAAACTCAGCTTCCGGAACAAGGCTAAAGTCCAGAAGTGGATGAACAAGCAGAACTTTCTGCCAGAATTTTCAGCCAGTGAACATGAAGAAGAAACACAGCTAGGTTGCAGTATCTTTCTGCCGAACAAATATAATTTCAGCGAGTCCCAACTTTAGCCGCCTTTAACGACATGCTTTAAGGGACAGTGGTTATGTTTCTCACTGCTAGTTGATTATTTCAACTGTGGTCTCCAGGTAACAGATCCTAAAGTCATTCAAGGGATGGCCAACATTGCCAGATTTTTGGTTGAGCACAAGGCAGACGTCAATGCCCAAGACTCAACTGGCAGGTGAGGAATGTTGGTCTATCTTCAGAATTCCTTGACTTTATTTCTCTTAACCGATCTTACTATGTTTTCTTTATTTTCCACCTCTTCCTCATCCTCTATTTTTAAGCTTTTATTAAAGTCACTTTTTTATATCTCTGTTTCTTGTCAGAAATGTGTAGGTAAGCACTGGTGACAACAGTTATAAAACATTCTAAGGTGAAACGTGCAGAGAATCACAGAATAGGCAATAAAGTTGGTTTATAAAGGGTTTGAGGAAGTGAGGACACCTAACAGAAAGCATGAAGTGAATGTTGATAAAAGAGACCAAGGCGCTAGACTGGATTCCATTCATCATATAGATTTCTTACACAGGATAGAACACAATGGGGGAATATACTGCGAGCCCTATATGAAATATAAGGAAACAACAGGGCAAGGATGACAATGATAACCTGTCAAAACTTTATGTCGCCTTACACAGTATGAATTACTTAACTCTTTGAGTCCCAAGGAACGCATCAGACATTCATAGATTCCTGCCTAGAAGCCCAATGAACGCATGATGCGCTGATTTTACGTCTATTTTAACTACCCCTTGGGCCTGTGATGCTTAACTCTCTGGGACTTAAATATATAAGTTGCATTGCATTGTCAGTTTAAAAAAATTTCTTGTTACAAGTATAATCCTTGATCTGTATCATTTGATTCAGTAGTTAAATATAAATATACCAAGTTAATTATTTATATATTACTTTCATGGGTGCCTCCACTTTTGTTATTTGTGATATAAATTGTGGTTGAATTTTTAAAAAGAATTATTTAACCTCTAGTTTCCAGTAAACTATACAATGAAACCTTTTATCTTTTTAGTACATAAATTTTGTGGTGCAGTTTAAATAAAAGCTTATTTTATAGAAAGTTTTTAAATATTTATATATTCATACATATTGTAAGGGGCTGCTAAGTAGATTTTGGCTGCAAAATTCTACCAATAATGGTGTCTACAAAAAGCCTGGCATGAGTTAGTCGAGGGCCTATTGTTCATTAGAAAATGAAAAGCATAAAAAGAAATGAGCTTTGGGGAGTGAAATGGTTGGGGGTGGGGGGGGGGGGGGTGGAGGTGACTTACAGGTTAAATCATCCACCTTTTAATTTCTCCTTGTGTGATCTAGCAGCTGGCTGAGTGGTTCCAACTTCAGGCTCTCATGCAGGAGATCCAGGCTCGACCACCAGTATGGTGTTCTTTTGGAGGCAAAATTAAAATCTTAACCTAGTGGAGATAGCACTAGCCATACAGACCCTAAATCCTCAGGTTCACAACCCCATGTCTGCATCGCCCTAAAAAAGTTGTAAAACAGATAGAGGTGGCAGTGCAGCAGAAGAGAAATAAAGCGCTTATCAGATCACCAGGTAATTGCAGTTCCCGACTTCACAGCAAACGGGCGCCTCATAGTCGCTCTGTTTTTGTGTGCCAACAACAAAAACCACACAGAATGCCCATGACTGTATCTCGTGAACAAAATGAATACAATCTGCAGTCTCAGCAATGCCAGTAGCATACATGTGCATTAAATACAGCTCTGAGAAATGATAACGCATGCAGTCCGACACTGGAAATACAGTTGATTGTTGATGGGAGCAGCAGTCACCACAGATCAGTAGCTGCACGGGCAGTTAATAAGCAGAAGGCCAGAAGCAGTCACAAAAGATCAGTAGTTGCACAGGCTGTTAATAGCAGAAGGCCAGAAGCAATCAGACACTAGAAATACAATTGATCGTTGATGGAAGCAGCAGTCACCACAGATCAGTAGTTGCACATGGCCCCCACCATTTCCCTGACAACAGGCTACTTGCCATTTTCTGAATGTGCAGTTTTCAACACAAACCACACAGCTTAGTATTGCGCCATGCACACAGCTGAGTAGCTGGGCGCCGGAACTCTATCCTCCCTGTCTACATATGAAGGAAAATGCAATGGCTAACTATTGTTAGAAGCAAAAACTTGCCGTGACTAAAACAGTAAACTTGCTTGTTAGCAATATTGACCGGAAGTGCTTATGGAGATACATATCTACATGTACTGAGAGTGATACTTTACTAAAACCAAACGTAAACCAGTTTAGTTTCAGCTTACTTTCTTTGTATGAAAACCAAACATAAACCAGTTTTGTTTCAGCTTACTTTCTTTGTATGAAAACCAAACGTAAACCAGTTTAGTTTTAGCTTACTTTCTTTGTATGACATGAGGTGTCCATTGCACTTTGGCTGTCTTTCTTCTTATTCTGGAGCTTCTCTTCTTACAGCACCCCCTTACACAACTCCATCATCAGCAAGAATGAGGCGGTCTTTCATGTGTTGTTGTCATCTAAGAAGATCAACCTGGAGGTGAAGAACTCAGACGGTTACACTGCTCTGTGGTTAGCCTTGCAGCAACAGGTTAGTTGGTTTCTCTTGGATTCTAGACTTAGAGTGATCTCCCCTTAGATGTCAATGCTTGGGATGTTCTCCCCATAGATTTCAATACTTAGGTTGATCTCCCCTAAGATGTCAATGCTTGGAGTGATCTTATCTTAGATTTTATTGCTTGGAGTGATCTCCTCTGCGATGCTTTTTGTGAGGGGAGAGATGGAAATGAAGAGAGAGAGAGAGAGAGAGAAGGAAGGGGAGGAGTCGGAGAGTTGGAAATAGAGAGGAATGGAAAGTCAGAGAACTGGAAATAAAAAGAAGAAAGGGAGGAGAGATGGATTTGAGAGATATAAATAGAGGGAGAGAGGAAGTAGGAGAGTGGGAATAAAACAGGAATGAGATGGATATGAAATAGGTTAAATAGAAATAAAGGGGAAGAGATATTATGAGAGAAGGAAGTAGATAAAGAGAAAAGGAGGGGGAGGAAAAATGTGTTAAAGATGACGATAAAAGGTGAAAGAGAAAGATTTAAGAGGTGGAAATTGTGGGAAAGATAAGGGAGGGAAAAGAGAGGGAAAATGAAAGAGATAGCAATAAAAGAGCAAGTGATAGAAGGGGAGGGAGTGAAGGAATAGAAAAGAAAGAGGAAGTGAGAAACAGGAAAAACTGGAGAGGAGGGAGAGACTGGAAGTGAGAGAGTAAGGTAGTGAACAAAAAGGGAGGAAGGAAGAATTACAGATACAGGAAGGAGAGGGAGAAAGAGGAAGGAAGAAGGACAATGTAGTGAAGAATGGGAGGGAAGAGAGGAAAGTTAGAGAATAGGAAAGAGTAGATGTGAGAGAAAGAGGCAGACAGACATAAAGGGAGAGAACATTTCCTAGTGCTCATTCTGGTCTGGGTACTTCTAGAAACACATATGCATTTGAAAAAAATAAAAATCTTCCCTGATATGAATTAAAACCACCACCCCTCCCCCTGTCTGTGGTTTGGGGGGGGGGGGGGAATTTCCCCTTAACAAATATGTAAGAAGAGGGTTTGCTTTGTTAGGCAGAAAGGTGCAAATATCACATTCTAGCTGTAAACCACAACACAACATGCCAAGTGCCCTTTTAAGGCCAAGCACTGAAGAAGAAAGAAGGTTGGGCACTTATGACCGCTGGATCAGCAGGTAAATGTGTCTCCCAGTGTGCTCCCCCCCCCCCCCCCACCAAAGCCTCCTCCTTTGTCATGCTTTTTTCTGTCTTGAGCTGTTGCCTTTAACACTGATGTCCATCTCCCAGGAAGATGCTCCTCCCGAGGAGGAGGGCCCAGTCTACGGAGAGTCCAGTTTTGCCTTCAGGTTGATCCAGGCTAAGGCTTCCCCAGACGCTGTGGAGCCTGAGTCTGGCAACAGTCTGCTCCATCTTGCAGCCCAGCATGGCTACCAGGCAGCAGGGATCTTCCTCACCAGGCACGGGGCTTCTGTTGGACACCCCAATTTTAAGGTAGGGTCTGTGTGTGCCTGACCCGGTTATCAACAGTCATCTGTCATAGAAGTCAGGCCGTTTTAAAACTTTCTACTCCACTCATTTACTTGTAGAACTGATAGAAAAAGCGCTATAAGGACACTCAAAAACTTTCTATTCCACTGATTTACTTGTTGAACTGATAGAAAAAGCGCTATAAGGACACTCAAAAACTTCTATTCCACTGATTTACTTGTTGAACTGATAGAAAAAGTGCTATAAGGACACTCAAAAACTTTCTATTCCACTGATTTACTTGTTGAACTGACAGAAAAAGCGCTATAAGGACACTCAAAACTGCTATCAATTCTTTTGGCATCAATACATCGACGTGGAAGGCTGCTGCACAGGACTGTTCTGGATGGTGTACATCCCTCAGGCATGGTGCATCAGCCTGCCAGGCAGCGGAGGTTGCACAGGCAGAGAAACGGAGGCAGACTAGAAAGAACCATATCGCTGATCCCACACTTACTACAGCTTCCACCTGTTGTCCGAACTGCTCAAGAACTTTCCAGGCTCATATTGGACTAATCAGCCAGTTCGTACTCATAATCATTAATCATTACTACTTTGGATGAAAAGTGGGCTTTATCACTTGTGATGGACGAACAACATCACTTGTTGAACTGACAAGCAGGCATCACCATACCGGACCTTCATTGACCAATGAATTTCTTTAAGTTTCACACCCTCTCTAATTTAAAAAAAAAAAATAATAACAGAACGCCGCTCCTCCTTGGTGCATGTCAAAAGTGACGCAGCGTTTAACTGTCGCTATGATGTCACCATGTTCATCTGCACTGTGAACTGATGTCACATGCTTAACACTCTTGACATCCTTAACAACATTGTTGACTGTTTATAAGGCAATCACATGGTTATTGTAACTTCTGTCACAAAATTGAAGTTTTCATTTGTAGCCCCCTCGTACCTAATATGAAGTCAAATACACGAAAGCAAGGATGGTAGATGCATACATGAAAATGTAATACAGGCCCCCACCCCCCCTCCTCCCACACAAACACACACGCACATATATATATATATATATATATATATATATATATATATATATATATATATATATATATATATATATATATATATATATATATATATATATATATATATATATATATATATATATATAAATATTCACAAATATACATACATAGACTCTCCTACATACACATACCAATAGGCATGCAAGCATACCCACTTATAGTCACACTTCCCTGTGTGCGATCCAGGATCCTATTGTAGGGAAAACAATAATAGACCCACTGGCCATCCAAAAGCATGTCGTAAGAGTCGACTAATTAGGAGCTTCCTTTGAAGTCAGAGTGCACCTGCCTGAGAGGTAAGAAAAGCAACAGGTGCATGCAAATGAGTCATGTCTGTAAAACGGATGCACACGTGACACTCAGGTTCTGGGAAAATACAAGAAGTCAAGAAGGGAACCAACAATGAGAACTTTCACAGGAGTTTACAGCCAGTGAACAAGAAGAAGAAGACAGTCATACTCTTACACTCATACATTTAAAAAACTGTGAACATCCCCAGTGAGTCACTGTGTATGATATGCTTGCTAGGGCCAGTGAGTCTACCCCCACCCCTCCCCATATAGGGCCCTACAACCCACACAGGGAGGTGCAGATTTGTCTGTGTAACGTTTGGACCAGCAGACAACCATCTAGTAACTGCAGTGCTGCAGCTGCTTACAATTCTGTCTTCTTCTTCTTTGCTTTCTCTTTTACCTCGTCAGGTGTTGCATGAGATGTATACTTAGTACTTCTCTGGGTTCTTTCATAATATCCTACCCCAGATGATATCACTGGACAGTCCAACATTTTAGATGGTGGTAAGACTGGGTTTCCCGGCTTTCTGATTCTTTAAACGACCGCAAAACATCTAGAACTGGCCCTAACCACAACCCACCCACGTCCCACGACAGAGTGCAGCCTAGGTCCCGCGACTGCATGCCACCTAGGTCCAACAAATGCATGCAGCCTATCTACCACCCCCTGAAATATTAGACTGTCCCATGACCTGTGGATTTTCCCTGTTTGGGGTAGGATATTAACTCTTTGAGTCCCAGGGGGTTTATCATCACAGGCCCAGGGGATAGTAAAGAAAGTCATAAAATCGGCACATCATGCGTTCATTGGGCTTCTAGTTAGGAACCTATGAACGAATGATGCGTTCCTAGGGACTCGAAGAGTTAACAAAGCACCCTTTTCTGTATATGATGAATATTTTGGACACTGTTGTAAACTTGTTCAACAGGGAGAAACTCCTTTGCATGTAGCCTGTGAAGAGGGTCTGACGGACCTGGTGCATGAGCTCCTGGAGCATGGAGCCAATCCAAATGCTCAGACGGTAGGCACCCCGACTTCTGCTTTGAGTATCGCAGCCCTTGGGTACGGAGAGATCCCACCAGACGTGTCGCAGCAAACGCCGCTGCATCTGGCCTTGAGTAAAGGTCATCACTCGGTTGTTCAAGTGTTTCTGGATTATAAAAGTAATATTGAGTGTCGTTGTTTTCTTAATCAGCCATTTGTCTTCCAGCATCCTGCTATCTTTTCATCACACATCTTTTGGTTTACAAGTGTAATTTTTTTTAGGTAATCCCTGGGCATCATTGCTGAAGCTGCAGAGTTTGTGCCTTGTGTGGGGCTCTCAGCAGGCAGTCAGCCATTGTGTAGGAGACTGAACGATATCGGTTCAAACCTGGTGCTAGACAAATTCACCACTGAAGAACTATATAGAGACAAAGTCACCACTGAAGAACTATATAGATAAAAATGTATAAATTTGCAGGATATCAGGAGCCTCTCTTGGCAGTGATGAAACGTCACAAGCTAGCTTGGTTTGGGCATGTGGTGAGACAAGATTCGGTTGCAAAGACTGTACTTCAAGGAACATTGGGGGGAAGTCTAAGAAGGGGAGGACAAAGAAGAAACCGAAATTGCAACATCAACAAATTGACAGGTCTAAGTTATCATTCACTAACTGATCAAATGGTAGACAAAGAAAGATGGCAGGTTTTCAGATCGAGGGCTGTGTTGTTATATTATGTTCTGCAGGTGAGGCATGGCAGAAACATGTTTGGGAAACACTGATTCAGGGCACAATCAGTATAAAGGTAAAAAGATAAAGTCAGGAGATGTGAACCAGCATCACTGCACACGGTTATAAACCATAAGTGCTCTGCCACTAGTATGGACGGTTGATAAGAAACTGTCCGCCTTGTCGCTGTCCGCACGTAACTCCGTAGCTACAGCGACGTTCCTCCATTACCCCAGAGTGTTAACTTTGGTACCCATTACCTAGAGGTTGGGTGAACCCCAGGAACCCCCGGTTTCGAACACCGGCCCAACGGCTGTGGGCTGCAGCGAGTCACTGCTGGATTTGAAATTTGAAAGCGAGTCTCCTATCGATTGCGCTAATGCCCCCCCCCCCCCCCTCCTTCCCCCCATAATCAGTATGGGAAAACAAAGCTATAAAATGGATCCTCTTGACTTTTTACTTTAACTTAAACAAAATCTACAGTCAACCTGGCCAAGTCTGGCAATACAAGCAGAAGAATCCTGCCCAATTTTAACGTGAAGGACTCGCAGGGGCAGACCGTTCTAGGCCTGGCATTGTGGAACCACATGCACGACATCGCCGACAGACTGATCAAATGTGGAGCCAACATCAACGAGAAAAACTCTGCTGGCATGACCTTACTGCATCAGGTTTGTGTTTTTCTTGACTTTTTCAGATTTGTTAAGGATTACAGGCTTTTTTTAAAGGCACTATTATTAAATGAATTCATGATGTCCGACTTCCACTTTTGTTTGCCCTTAAGGATTGTGTCTTCATCCATTTCATTATATCAGGATACATAGGACTACCTAGAGGAACTGGTTATTACTGTGTTGGTTATGATGGTGTTGTATGACAGAGCTACCATATAGATTTTAGGTTTGAACAACAGATCATCATGGCACAAGAGTAGTAACCCATAAGTGCTCTGTTCTTCTTCTAACTTAAGTCCGAGTACGAAGAAGCTCAGCACAGTGTACAGTCTCTGTAGCACTGTCGAGGATCCTGAAATACTTTGGGTAAATTTTTAAATCCAAATTTTGCCCAGGCAACGCTGTTAGGATACTCTTTTTGATTTCTAACTGCTAAGGGATTTTTTTTACGTGTGCAACAATGCCCACGGGCATCCGATCTCACTACCCAGAGACCAGGGGTAATTACTAGAAGGCCAAGTCCACGTGAAAAACCCCAGCCTTTACCGGGGATTGCACCTGGAACCTCTAGTGCTCAAGGTGGACACCATACCTCGAGACCATGCAGCCCCCAGCTACAATATAATAATAGTCTTTACTTTTAACCTGTTTGGATAGATGAAAGATGAGGAAAAAAAAATATATAGTCTGTTCTGTTGTATGGTAGTGAATCTTGGAATATGAGCAGACAAATTAAGAAACGTTTTGAGGCAACTAAGATGGTGGTTCTTGAGAAGAATGTTGCAAATACCTTGGACTACCAGAATAACTAACAATGATTGCCTGGAAACGGCTAATGAAAGTGTAATCTTATATACAACAATGAGAATGGTCAAATGATGAGGAAAGGAGCACTGAAAAATATCGTGACGACTGGAAAAATCACTGGTAGAAAAGGCAGAGGCAGACCAAGAGAAACAATGGTGGATGGCTTAACTCTTTGTGGACTTATTGCCAGTTTAGTGGCTTCTGAATCCAACCAGTTTGGACAGATCACCACTTAAGTGGCTCCACGCATAGATACTCTATTGTTTCATTTTTTGGAAAAATGAATTTTTATGAGCATGTTTTGAAATACTAGAATTAGCAGAACAGAGTCCTTTTGTCTTGGAAGTTTACTTTACCCTGGTGTTTGGTTAACTTTCTGATTTGTTTTAAATTATTTGGATGTGATACAAATTTTACGTGATTTTTCTGTACCAAATGATAAGGAAAATGGTCTATAACTGTACATTCTGCTCTGTCATTTATGAATCTCAGCCAGATAGTGACAATAGTCTTGATGTTGAGATTGATAATGCATGTACCAAACCTACTGCTGATAATATAGGTTAGGGGGGCTGCGTGGTCTTGGGGCATGGTGTCTGCCTCGAGTGCTGGAGGTTCCGGGTTCAATCCCCGGTAAGGGCCAGGATTTTTTCACGTGGACTTGGAGTTCTAGTAATTCCCCCTCGTCTGTGGGTAGTGAGATCGGACGCCCGTGTGCATTGTTGCGCGTGTAAAAGATCCCTTGGCAGTTGGAGCAAAAGTTAGAGTTGAAAATGTACGCAAAGTATTTCAGGATCCTCGCTGGTGCTACAGAACCTGTGCACTGTGCTGAGCTTCTTCGGACGGACGAGTTAGAAGAAGAGCGGAGCACTTATGGGTTACTATCCGTGTGCCATGATGTTGATCCGTTGTTCAAACCTCAAACCTAAAGGTTAGAATGAAGTTGAAAAAAAAAAAATATCAATCTGATCGTCCTTGTTTCTATCAGCTGTTTCATGAATTCAGTTGTTTTCAACATGTCATATAAAAAAATCGTCATAAAATCCAAAGTATTTAAATTAATTGTTTCAAATAAAGACTAGCTGATGCATAATTGGACAGAGGAGGCATGTGAATTCTTAGAATTTGATAGCAGTGTTTGAAAACATAAAAAGTAGGGTAGGCACAACATCTTTAAATGTGTCTAACATCCTTGCATATTGTGAGATTTTAATAATTTTGTTTTTGTAGTACTGATACTTAAATAGTTTAGATTTACTCTGCATTCATTTCTCTTTAATTTGATATTTTTGATACTTTTTCTTCAGGAAGGTTTTAGCTTTGTCATTTTTGCAGTAAACAAAAATTCAGCTCAAAATTAATGCTGTCCAAACTGCAGAAAAAATGTTGTCCTGAAAAAGTTAAGACAGTGGCAAGGCACTTGATGTTGATTATATATGAATATTTATCTCGCTGGAGCATTGTTTCTGAGAAACTGAAACTGTTGACGGGCTGCAGGTAAATTTCTGCAGACTGGCGCTTTTCCATGCATTGATATAGTACCTGTGAGGGGAGTCACCTGTGTGTTTACTGATATAGTACCTGTGAGGGGAGTCACCTGTGTGTTTACTGATATAGTACCTGTGAGGGGAGTCACTTGTGTGTTTACTGATATAGTACCTGTGAGGGGAGTCACCTGTGTGTTTATTGATATAGCACCTGTGAGGGGAGTCACTTGTGTGTTTACTGATATAGTACCTGTGAGGGGAGTCACCTGTGTGTTTATTGATATAGCACCTGTGAGGGGAGTCACCTGTGTGTTTATTGATATAGTACCTGTGAGGGGAGTCACCTGTGTGTTTATTGATATAGCACCTGTGTGTTTATTGATATAGTACCTGTGAGGGGAGTCACCTGTATGTTTATTGATATAGTACCTGTGAGGGGAGTCACCTGTGTGTTTATTGATATAGTACCTGTGAGGGGAGTCACCTGTGTGTTTATTGATATAGTACCTGTGAGGGGAGTCACCTGTGTGTTTATTGATATAGCACCTGTGTGTTTATTGGTATAGTACCTGTGAGGGGAGTCACCTGTGTGTCTATTGATATAGTACCTGTGAGGGGAGTCACCTGTGTGTTTATTGATATAGTACCTGTGAGGGGAGTCACCTGTGTGTTTATTGATATAGCACCTGTGTGTTTATTGGTATAGTACCTGTGAGGGGAGTCACCTGTGTTGATTGATATAGTACCTGTGAGGGGAGTCACCTGTGTGTTTATTAATATAGTACCTGTGAGGGGAGTCACCTGTGTGTTTATTGATATAGTACCTGTGAGGGGAGTCACATGTATGTTTATTGATATAGCACCTGTGTGTTTATTGATATAGTACTTGTGAGGGGAGTCACCTGTGTGTTTATTGATATAGCACCTGTGCGTTTATTGATATAGTACCTGTGAGGGGAGTCACCTGTGTGTTTATTGATATAGTACCTGTGAGGGGAGTCACCTGTATGTTTATTGATATAGCACCTGTGTGTTTATTGATATAGTACCTATCAGGGGAGTCACCTGTATGTTTATTGATATAGCACCTGTGTGTTTTTTGGTATAGTACCTGTGAGGGGAGTCACCTGTGTGTTTATTGATATAGTATCTGTGAGGGGAGTCACCTGTGTGTTTATTGATATAGTACCTGTGAGGGGAGTCACCTGTGTGTTTATTGATATAGCACCTGTATGTTTATTAATATAGTACCTGTGAGGGGAGTCACCTGTGTGTTTATTGATATAGCACCTGTGCGTTTATTGATTTAGTACCTGTGAGGGGAGTCACCTGTGTGTTTATTGATATAGTACCTGTGAGGGGAGTCACCTGTATGTTTATTGATATAGTACCTGTGAGGGGAGTCACCTGTGTGTTTATTGATATAGTACCTGTGAGGGGAGTCATCTGTGTGTTTACTGATATAGCACTTGTGAGGGGAGTCACCTGTGTGTTTATTGATATAGTACCTGTGAGGGGAGTCACCTGTGTGTTTATTGATATAGTACCTGTGAGGGGAGTCACCTGTATGTTTATTGATATAGCACCTGTGAGGGGAGTCACCTGTGTGTTTATTGATATTGTACCTTTGAGGGGAGTCACCTGTATGTTTATTGATATAGTACCTGTGAGGGGAGTCACCTGTGTGTTTATTGATATAGTACCTGTGAGGGGAGTCACCTGTGTGTTTATTGATATAGTACCAGTGAGGGGAGTCACCTGTGTGTTTATTGATATAGTACCAGTGAGGGGAGTCACCTGTGTGTTTATTGATATAGTACCGGTGAGGAGAGTCACCTGTATGTTTATTGATATAGTGCCTTTGAGGGGAGTCACCTGTGTGTTTATTGATATAGTACCTGTGAGGGGAGTCATCTGTGTTTTTATTGATATAGTGTCTGTGAGGGGAGTCACCTGTGTGTTTATTGATATAGTACCGGTGAGGGGAGTCACCTGTATGTTTATTGATATGATATAGTACCTGTGAGGGGAGTCACCTGTGTGTTTATTGATATAGAGTACCGGTGAGGGGAGTCACCTGTATGTTTATTGATATAGCACCTGTGAGGGGAGTCACCTGTGTGTTTATTGATATAGTACCTGTGAGGGGAGTCACCTGTGTGTTTATTGGTATAGTACCTGTGAGGGGAGTCACCTGTGTGTTTATTGATATAGTACCTGTGAGGGGAGTCACCTGTGTGTTTATTGATATAGTACCGGTGAGGGGAGTCACCTGTATGTTTATTGATATAGTACCTGTGAGGGGAGTCACCCATGTGTTTATTGATATAGTACCGGTGAGGGGAGTCACCTGTATGTTTATTGATATAGTGCCTTTGAGGGGAGTCACCTGTGTGTTTATTGATATAGTACCTGTGAGGGGAGTCACCTGTATTTTATTGATATAGCACCTGTATGTTTATTGATATAGTACCTGTGAGGGGAGTCACCTGTATGTTTATTGATATAGCACCTGTATGTTTATTGATATAGTACCTGTGAGGGGAGTCACCTGTGTGTTTATTGGTATAGCACCTGTGAGGGGAGTCACCTGTATGTTTGTTAACATAAGTTGTCTTGATTGGTGGATGTTGTTTGTGGCAGGCTATAGAGGCGCAAGACACCATCAGTGCTCTCTTCCTGATGGACCATCTGGCGGATCTGGAGGCCATGTGAGTACTGGCTCTTCTGTCATCTTATCTCACCCCCATCTTATCTCTTAATCGTCCTTTCTCATCTCTCTCTCAGCCTATCTTATCATCTCTTCCTCTCCTTTTCTCTCCCTCATCTGATCTCTTTCTAATCTGATCTCTTCCTCATCCTCATCTTATCCTTTCCTCAACTTATCTCATCCTTTCTTTTTCTCATCTTATCTCTTCCTGATCTGATCTTTTCCTCAACTTATCTCTTCCTCATCTTATCTTTTCCTCAACTTATCTCATTCTTTCTTTTTCTCATCTTATCTCTTCCTGATCTGATCTTTTCCTCAACTTATCTCTTCTTCATCTTTTCTTCTACTCATCTTATCTCTTCCCTATCTTATTTCTTCCTCATCCTTTCTTTTCCTGATCTTATCTCTTCCTCATCTTATCTTTTTCTAATCTGACCTTTTCCTCATCCTTTATCATCCTCATCTTATCCTTTCCTCAGCTTATCGCTTCCTCATCTTATCTTTTCCTCAATTTATCTCTTCCTCATCCTTTCTTTTCCTTATCCTAACTCTTCCTCCTCTTTATCATCCTCCCCCCCCCCCATCAGATCTCTTTCTTATCTCTTTCTCATCTTATCTCTTTCTCATCTTATCTCTTTCTCATTTCTTTCTCATCTTCTCTCTCCCTCATCCTTTCTCTTATCCATCTGATCTCTTCCTCGTGTGTCTTTCATTTAATGTCTTTCTTATCCATTCTGTTAATCTCTTCCTCAAGTGATCTCTTTCTCATCTCTTCCTGAAGACCATATAAAAGAGAGTATTGGAGAAGGGATCTCTAGTGTCTGATGCTAACGTGACCTAAAGATGAAGAACAAGTTATTATCCAACCAGGGTGATTGGTTAGATGACCCCCAATGTCTCCTCTAGGCCAGGCATTCAAAAAAGAAGAAAAATGGCAGTACTTTAAAATATGTTGCCTATAAACCAGCTTGCTTTGGTTTCAACAGCGGGATCAAGAGCTGACCATTTAGAAAGCATTGATTATACCAGTGATTCTCAAACTGTGCGTCATGGCGCCCTGGGGAGCCGCGACCTCTTCACAGGGGCGACGTGAAATATTGTAAAAGCTTCATAATTAATTTAACCAAGACACGAATAGTCATACTTTTACTTAGGTTAGGGCGCAGTGGAAAAATGTCAATTGAAAAAAGGTGCAGCAACCAAGAAATGTTTGGTAAACACTGGATTATACTACTAAATGTAAAACTGCCTAATAAGCCCCCACCCCCTACCCTCAAATGCTGGGTTTGGTTCTGCGTCTGTAAAGGACAATCAGCCATCTTAAATCAGTTGTGTGGAAATGTTCTTACCTGTGTCTTGACGCCCCCAGCTCTCCCGATGGTCAGACGGTCATCCAGCATGCCATCAGTCGACACCTACCTGCCGTCGTGGAAGCTTTATGTGAGCGGGGTGTCAAGATGGACATTACTGATGCTGAGGGGAACTGTCCACTCTGGCAAGCCCTGGACTCTGGCCAGGAAGATATCGCACATACACTGGTCTGTTGTTTCAGTTCTTATCTAACATTTGTGTTTTTTTTTGTTTTTTTTGTTTCTCTTATTGGAATATCTGCTGGCTGCCTTATGTATATAATGTGTGTGTATGCTGTTGGTTTTGCTGTGACTGCAGTCTGTTTCACATGTTTTCACAAGGGACAGCAATGGGCATTCGCTGGCACAGAAACAGAACAAGTGGAGAGGACAGACTTGTTTGCCAGGAAGTTGGAACTTCTTCTTTGACTTCACCGGCTGTAAACTTTAGCGGAGAGTTCTGGTTCTTCATCCACCTTTGGACTTTAGTCTGGTTCTAGAACCTGAGTGTTGCATGCACATCCATTTTACAGATCTGACTGATGTGTATGCGGACTGTTGGTTCCGTGCTTCTCAGACATATGCACTCCAACTTTGAAGGAAGGTTCTCCCCCCCCCGCCCCCCCTTTCCAGTTGACTCTTACGACAAGCTTGTTGGCGAGGCAGTGGGTCTATTCTGGTTTTCCAGAGATTGGTTTTCCCCGGAACCCACACGGGAAAGAGTTGGGTTTATAACAAACTAACTTTCTTTAACCCAGTAGCTCTTGGATGATTGTTGGTTTGCTGGTTATGAATTGTTTGCAAAACAGTGAGTGTTATAGTCCGCGATAGAAGTTGTGCTCAACTTCAGTAATCTGTAACTCAGTAACATACAGATCTGTCCAGTAGATGTGCACGCACAACTGAAGTTCTGGAACAAGACCAAAATCCAGCAGTGGACAAACAACCAGAATGTCCCAGCAGAGTTTACAGTCGGTGAACGCTAAGAAGACAAAGAAGACAAAGAAGACAAAGAAGACAAAGAAGACAAAGAAGACAAAGAAGACAAAGAAGACAAAGAAGACAAAGAAGACAAAGAAGACTAAGAAGACAAAGAAGACAAAGAAGACAAAGAAGACAAAGAAGACTAAGAAGACAAAGAAGACAAAGAAGAAAACGAAAATTGTTTTTTTTTTTCTGCCTGTTAGGCTGGCTGGCCATGTCAGCAATAAAAGAAAGGTGCTAGATGTTTTTTGTATGCAAAAGTTACTGTGGTGTGTAAAGAGTTATTGATATCAGGGCTTGGTGAAGCATGGGTACATATGGGCATTCATGAGGTGTTGACAGGTTTAGAGTGTAAACATTGGAGCCACTTAAAAGTTGTGAAACGGAGGTTGCTTGATATTCATGATGGCTCCTGATATTCACAGGTGACTCCAACTGGGAAATCCACGTGTGGCTGACCGCTATTGGTGTTTGAGTCAGTCAGCTTTCAGTCAGTCTAAGTTTGTAGACGTGCACGAATTGTGCATGTGCTATGGACAGATTGTGATATAAGTAACAAATTGTGAATTAACTAACTAATTGTGAATTAAGTAACTAATTGTGAATTGACAGATTGTGAATTAAGTGACAGATTGTGAATTAAGTGACAAATTTAACAAGTAACAAGTTGTAAATTAAGTGACAAATTGTGAATTAAGTGAATGTTCTGAATAAAATGTCAGATTGTGAATTGAGTGACAAATTGTGAACAAAGGGAAAATATGTTACTTTGCAAGGGTCACATTTTTGTCTAAACACAGGTCAAGCACGGATGTGATGTCAACTTATGGGCTCAGAGCCCTGGAGGGTTTTTCCAGACTCTACTACATCGAGCCCTAGATCAAAACAATGAGGCCGTTGCCTGCTTTCTAGTCAGAAGGTCTGTTGTATGCATCTTTGTAAATTTGTGTGTTTTGTTTGATTTTGGAGTTTGGGTCGATCCCAACAGATGTTGGTTCTGAATGACCGAAGGGCCTCAAATACCAAGCCAACAGGAAACCCACATATAATTTTTTTTATGTGGTTTAGTATTGGCCATATGTTGGATACCATGAAATTAATCAGATTTGTTTATGCAGTTTACCATTGGCATGACCGAAGAGCCATTTGTTGGACACCGAGCAGATTTGAATCTGTGACCATAGGATTGGCAGGCCAGCATCTAGCCATTACACGGTTGTAGTTGCCATGTAGAATCGTCTTCTTGTAGTTCGCGCTGTGTACCCATGTACTTTCAGTCAGTTCTGACACAAATGATCTTGCAAACCTTGTGATGTTGGTAGTCGTGTCTATCCACAACCTTCTGTTGTGTACTTTGAATCAGTTCTGACACAAATGATCTTGCATACCTTGTGATGTTGGTAGTCATGACTATCCACAACCTTCTCTTTCCTGTCCTTTCAGTCAGTTCTGACACAAATGATCTTGCATACCTTATGGCGTTGGTAGACATCTCTATCCACAACCTTCTGTTGTGTACTATAAATCAGTTCTGACACAAATGATCTTGCATACCTTGTGATGTTGGTAGTCATGTTCATCCACAACCTTCTCTTTCCTGTCCTTTCAGTCGTTTCTGACACAAATCATCTTGCATACCTTATGGCGTTGGTAGACATCTCTATCCACAACCTTCTGTTGTGTACTATAAATCAGTTCTGACACAAATGATCTTCCATGCCAAGATGTCTGACTATTCAGCATCTTCTTTCTCCCTCTCTGCCTGCATCTTTTTCCCTCCAACTTTCCCACGATCATGATGTGCTCCTGTTTCTCCTCCTCATGACACGACCAAAGAATGTACATTGTCTTGTTGTGATGTGGGCAGTCAATTCTCTTTGTAGGTCAGCATCATCATGTAGCAGGTCCTTTGCAGAACGTCGCTCTCATTATGGTCTGCCTGAAAGAAACTTGGTCTCTTGTCAGCTCTCCCGCCTCATGTACTTTCACACTCAAGGAGTCACTTATATTCTGTGCCCATCTTCGTGTGGGTCGGCCCCTGCTCTCCCGCCCCATGTACTTTCACACTCAAGGAGTCACTTATATTCTGTGCCGATCTTCGTGTGGGTCGGCCCCTGCCCCTCCTTCCTGGTACAATGCCTTCTGCTATAATTTTTTCCAATCCGTCGTGGCCCTTGATATGACCAAAATATTTCAGCTTTCGAGAAAGAATGCCAATCTTCCTTAATGTTCAGATCTTTTAATGTTTCTCATCTTCTTTGTCCAAGATATTCTGAGAATCTTTCTATAGCATTTCAGCTTAAAAGCCCCTATTCTCTTTATTTGTAGGTCAGCATGTTGAATTGTACCTGTAACATAATTGTGCCCCTTGTTTGTTCCCAGCGGCTGTGATAAAAATAGTCCCCGACGGCCGGGTCCCAGCGGTGAAGGTTCAGAGGAGGGGAAGTAAGTAGTGTTCTCTTTGTTACTGTCTTTTGTTTTTTGTTCTTTTGTCTGACTGTTTGTTTGTCTGTCTTTTTATTTGTTTATTATTCTGGCCATCTTTTGTTTCCTTTCTTTTCTTCTTTCTTTTTATTCATTTTTCTGGCCTTTTTCTTTCTTCTTTTTTTTTTTTGTTGTCCTTCCTCTGGCCTACATTTCCCCCTCCCCATCTTCTGTTCTTTCTGTTTGTTCATTTTCTGGCCTTCCTGTTTTTCAGTTCTTTATTTTTATTCATTCTTCTAGCTTTCCAGTTTCTTCTTATGATTTATGTGCATGTGTGTGTGTATATGAGTGTTGCGTGCATTCTTGTAGTCTTCCTTTCTCTTTCCCCCAGCCTTCCTTTCCTTCTTTCTTTTGATTTTACTCTGTCTTTTTTTCTGTCTTCATTTATTCTGTCTATTCTTCTGCCATTTTGGGCATGTCATGTCGAGTTTTAAATCTCAGAGTCTGCCAGTAAGAATATCAATTATAACTATAAAAATATGTCAGTAAGATTATTTAATTTGACGAGCGAGCTAGCAAATGTTTAACTGTTAGGTCTAGGAGTCTGCCAGTAAGACTGTCAATTATAACTATAAGAATATGTCAGTAAGATTTTATAATTTAACGAGCGAGCTAGCAAATGTGTAACCGTTGGGTCTAGGAGTCTGCCAGTAAGACTATCATTTGTAACTATAAGAATATTTCAGTAAGATTATATAATTTAGCGAGCGAGCTAGCAAATGTGTAACCATTAGGTCTTGGAGTGTGTCCAGTAAAACAGTAAATCTTGCGTCTGCTTGCAGTGATGGTCAGAGTCCCTTGCACATGGCGTGTTCTTGGGGCTTGGAGATGGTCGTGCAGTGTTTGATGGAGCATGGTGCAGACGTCAACACACAGGTGAGGCTTTGTTGTGAGGGCTGGTTGTGAGGGCTGGGTTGTGAGGCTATGTTATGAAGTGGTTGAGAGGGCTGGTTGTGAGGCTTTGTTGTGAAGTGGTTGTTAGGGCTGGTTGTGAGGCTTTGTTGTGAGGTGGTTGTTAGGGCTGGTTGTGAGGCTTTGTTGTGAAGTGGTTGAGAGGGCTGGTTGTGAGGCTTTGTTGTGAGGTGGTTGTTAGGGCTGGTTGTGAGGCTTTGTTGTGAAGTGGTTGTTAGGGCTGGTTGTGAGATTTGGTTGTGAGGGCTGGTTGTGAGGGCTGGTTGTTGACTGAATCTCAGTATACAGGTGAGCGTGAATAGACTAACTCACTGTTGAAATCTCATCTACATAAGCATCAAGACAAGGATTCTTCTTACATCAGTGGAACACTGGGCTCATGATTCTAGACTCTTATTTTTTAGACCAAGGGGGCCACATTAGCGCAGTCAATAGAAGACTTACTTCCAAATCCAGCTGCAAGTCGCTGCAGCCCACGGCCGGTGTTTGGAACCGGACGGTTCCCGGGGTTCACCCAGCCTTAAGTTAATGGGTACCAGAGTTAACACTCTGGAGTAAATGGAGGAACGTTGCCGTAGCTATTGAGTTACATGCGTACGGCGATGCAGGCGGACAGTGTCTTATCAGCAGTCCGTACTGGTGGCAGAGCCCTTATGGTTTATAACGGGGTGCAGTGATGCTGGTTCACATCTCCCGACTTTACCTTTTTTATTTGTATAGACCTTTTTCTCTTTAGCATTCTTCTTCTTAAAGTCCATCCCGTGTAGCGTTGGTAGTTGTATCTCTGCACAACCTTCTGTCTCGTGTACTTTCAGTCAGTACGGATACAGATGATCTTCTATTGCCATGATGTCATACTGTCCAGCATCTTCTCTCTTGGCCTCCCTGTGCCTCTTTCCCCCTCCACTTTTCCCACTGTCACGATGAACTCCAGTTTTCTCCCTCCCATGAAGTGGCTAAAGAATGCAGACTGTCTCCAGCTGAGCATTCACTGGCTGTAAACTCTTGAGGAAAGTTCTGGTTGTTCGTCCATTTCTGGATTTTAGTCTTTGTGTCCAGTACCTAAGGTGTGCACATCTGTTTTTACAGATCTGGCCTATTTGTTTGCAGTGATTGGATTCCTTGCCTCTCTGGCACTTGCATCCAGCTTTAAAGGAAACGCCTCTTATTATCCCTTCATGATATGCTTGTGAGGGGGGGCCAGAGGGTCATCCCCCCCACACCCCCTCCCCCAGAATGGGCCCCTACAACCCACACTGGGACTTCAAAGAGCAGAATTCTGCAGACATGTCCAAGCCATCTTCTTCCCGTGGTAACATTTGCCAGTGATGATCAGTTTGTTTCCCTTCTCAATTCTTCATCTGTGAACTTGTTTAGCCAAAATATTTGTAGAAATCTTCTTAAACATTTATTTTGTAAAGTTTCTAGTTTGTCTGCAGTTTCTGCTGTAATTTTTTTACACTCGCTGTTGTATAATAGTACTCTCACCTATGTGAGTGCTATAGCGCCGGTTGGGTTATGACAAGTGTAGTTCCCACTGGTCCTTAAACATGTCGTAAAATGTGACTAATTGGAAGTTTTTTTTTCCCTCTGAAGTCGGAGTTCATCTGCCTGAATGACAGGAAAAGTCTGCATACACATAAGCCAGAACTGTAACACACATATGCACACAAAATTCAAGTTCTGTTACAAAACTGCAGTCGAGAAATGCAGAAACAAACAAAATTTTCCACCAGTTTACAGCCGGTGAAAGCTAAGACACAGAAAGAAAAGTAAAGGGCCTTTGTTTACACCTTCGGGCGTATCGGGCATTTAGGGTTAGACCTATATTTAACAAGAATAGTACTCCTAAAATGTTGCTGCTGTAGCTTTGGTAAAACCTGAGTTTTGTCTTCAGACTAAGTCCCTTCGGCTTGCCGATATTATTGAGCATGACAGACACTTTAACCTGAGAGTCAGTTTTGTTGAAAGATGTAATATTTACTATATTTTTTCCATGTAAAAGACGTTGCCATTTAGACAACCCCCATTTTTTTTTTAAGCCACAACATAGATAATTATTTTAAACACATTACATATAAAAGACGACCCCCAATTTTATACCTGAAAAATTTGGGAAAACACGTCTTATACATGGACAGATACGGTAACTGACTGACGTTCAACCCCAACATGACATCACACTGAGGGATAAAACCCTAGATGACACAAAGTGCTAGCATTCAGAAGAAGATCACCTGGAGACAGGTCCCAGAAACCCTGTTCAGCCCATAGGTTGGGTTATTTCAGGGCCCCCGGCAACAGCTGAGGTGGGGCAAAAAAAAAATTTTTTTTTTTTTTAATTTTATTCGACATTGGGACACATGAGTTACTAGGTTTGATGTTTAAACAATATATCAACATCATGGCACATGGGTAGTAACCCATAAGTGCTCCGTTTTTCTTTTAACTCAAGTCTGAGTCTGAAGAAGCTCAGCACAGTGCACAGACTCTGTAACACCAACGAGGATCCTGAAATACTTTGGGTAGATTTTTAACTCTAAATGCGCAGTCGATAGTAGACTTGCTTTCAAATCCAGCACACAGGCGTCTGATCTCACTACCCAGAGATGAGGGAGAAATACTAGAAGTCCCAAATCCATGTGAAAAAATCCCAGCCCTTACCGGGGATTGAACCCAGCACCTCTAGCACTCAAGGCAGACACCATGCCTCGAGATCACGCAGCTCCCACTAATAACATGAAAAAATCTGGTACATTGTGATGTCCCTTTTGTCTCTGTATATCTCTGTCTAGGATGCGGAAGGAAAGACTCCCGTTCACATCGCCATAGAGAACCAGTTTCCAGTGATCATCTCTCTCTTACTCTCCCACCCCAGCCTTGACCTGACAATTAGGGACAGGAAAGGTCAGACGCCCTTTGCCACAGCTATGGGTATGAGGGACAACAAGGCCGCCCAGGCAATTCTTAACAGGGAGCCTACCGCAGCAGAGCAGGTGATTGTGTGACTGTCTCCCTGATTGTGTGACTGTGTCTCCCTGATTGTGTGACTGTGTCTCCCTGATTGTGTGACCGTTGTCTCCCTGATTGTGTGACTGTTGTCTCCCTGATTGTGTGACTGTTGTCTCCCTGATTGTGTGACTGTGTCTCCCTGATTGTGTGACTGTTGTCTCCCTGATTGTGTGACTGTCTCCCCCTGATTGTGTGACTGTCTCCCCCTGATTGTGTGACTGTATCCCTGATTGTCTGACTGTGTCTCCCTGATTGTGTGACTGTTGTCTCCCTGATTGTCTGACTGTGTCTCCCTGATTGTGTGACTGTTGTCTCTCTAATTGTGTGACTGTTGTCTCCCTGATTGTGTGACAGTTGTCTCCCTGATTGTCTGACTGGGTCTCCCTGATTGTCTGACTGTGTCTCCCCTGATCGTCTGACTGTGTCTCCCTGATTGTGTGACTGTTGTCTCCCTGATTGTGTGAGTGTTGTCTCCCTGATTGTGTGACTGTCTCCCTGATTGAGTGACTGTTGTCCTCCTGATTGTGTGACTGTTGTCTCCCTGATTGTGTGACTCTTGTCCCCCTGATTGTGTGACTGTTGTCTCCCTGATTGTGTGACTGTTGTCTCCCTGATTGTGTGACTGTTGTCTCCCTGATTGTGTGACTGTTGTCTCCCTGATTGTGTGACTGTTGTCCCCCTGATTGTGTGACTGTTGTCTCCCTGATTGTGTGACTGTTGTCTCCCTGAATGTGTGACTGTTGTCTCCCTGATTGTGTGACTGTTGTCTCCCTGATTGTGTGACTGTTGTCTCCCTGATTGTGTGACTGTTGTCTCCCCCTGATTGTGTGACTGTCTCCCCCTGATTGTGTGACTGTCTCCCCCTGATTGTGTGACTGTCTCCCCCTGATTGTGTGACTGTCTCCCCCTATTATGTGACTGTCTCCCCCTGATTGTGTGACTGTTGTCTTCCTGATTGTGTGATTGTCTCCCCCTGATTATGTTACTGTCTCTCCCTGATTGTGTGACTGTCTCCACCTGATTGTGTGACTGTCTCTCCCTGATTGTGTGACTGTGTCTCCCTGATTGTGTGACTGTCTCCCCCTGATTGTGTGACTGTCTCCCCCTGATTGTGTGACTGTCTCCCCCTGATTGTGTGACTGTCTCCCCCTGATTGTGTGACTGTCTCCCCTTGATTGTGTGACTGTCTCCCCCTGATTGTGTGACTGTCTCTCCCTGATTGTGTGACGGTGTCTCCCTGATTGTGTGAAGTCAGAGTGCCTCTGTCTGAGAGGGAAGGAACCAACAGTCTGCATACAAGTGAGCCAGATCTATAAAACTGATATGGAAATTCTTAAACACTACTAAAATCCAAAAGTGGACAAACAACCAGAAATGTCCTCTACAGTTTATAGCAGGTGAACACAAAGATGGTGTATCTTCACATCACTCTGGAAGAAACTCAGTACAGTGCAGCACTGAGTTGAGTCAAGAATTAACATCTTTGCACTCGAGGCATTCCCATGCGTGCTCCGTAGTCATCTTTAGCAGCCAGCGCAGAGCTCTAATACTTATGGTACCGGTCACAATCTGGTTAAATGTCTGTCTTGCCTTTCCTCTAAGTGTAGTGAGCCGGCCAGACCCTCTGGTTACACCCAGGTGCCTCGTTCTCTCCAGGCTATAATAATCGTGTTTCTATACTTCTCCTTCTTCTTCGCGTTCACCAGCTGTAGACTCTGGCGGAAAGTTCTGGTTGCTCGTCCACTACTGAACTGCAGTCCTGCTCCAGAACCTGAGTGTTACGTGTGCATCAGTTTTACAGATCTCATTCTCTTGAATACAGACTGTTGGTTCCTTGCCTCTCCGGCAGATGCACTCTGACTTCAAAGGAAGCTCCCCAATTAGAAGACTCTTACGACATGCTTTTAGGGATGCAGTGGGTCTATTCTTGTTTTCCCCACAATGGAGCCCCGGAACCCACACGGGGGTGTTTCTATACTGATTCCGTTGCTTGTTCCCAAAGGGCCACATCTACCTTGTCATGTATCAATTCACTCACCAGCGGTGCAGATCCAGCCAATCTGTCTGCCTGTTCATTACCCACTACGCCGGCATTGCAGCACTGATAGATGAAAAAGATTGTGTCTGCCTAATTTAAATCCACTACAGGAAAACATTATTTTGGAGAGAAAAAAATGTCCATGATTTGCCCCAACAGGTGGACAGCCGTGGGCGTAACTTTCTCCACAACGCCATCCAGAAGGTAGATATTGAGAGCGTCCTCTTCCTGCTTGGAGTCAACGCCAACGTCAACTCCAGGACACAAGACAGCCAGAACCTGACTCCGCTTCACCTCGCTGTGCATGCTGGCTCTGAGATCCTAGTTAGAAACTTGGTACGGTCTGCCTTTTTTCAAAATAAATTTTTGTGTTTAATAAATTTTTATTTACAATTTATTTTTTACATTTAATTTTCTTAATTAATAAAATACTAAACATCGGTGGTCATGAAATACCAGAAATTCGTTATGCTGATGATACAGTATTACTATCAACATCACAAAATGGTTTAGAAAACTTATTAACCTCACTCCAAAGAAATAGTGAAAATCATAACTTATTTCTTAACATAGCAAAAACAAAGATAATGCAATCAAACAAAACTGGAAATATATGTTAATGAGGAAAGATTGGAAGTGGTGGAAAATTTCGAATATCTTGGGTCACTGGTTACCAACAATGGTGACACAATGAAAGAAATTAAACGGCGACTATCAATTGCTCTTCAAAGACTAAAACAACTGAATAAATTATGGAATTGTACAGATAGAATTACAAAGGTCAGATTCTTAAGAGCATGCATCTTTCCCATTGCAACATACGCCTGTGAGACCTGGACACTTACTAAACAAGCGGAACAGCGCATAAATGCATTTGAATATAAATGTTACAGACAGGTTCTAAGAATATCTTGGGTAAAGAAAAGAACAAATGCATCCATACTTCAAGAGCTGAATATTGAAGAGGGTTGGCTAGTAAAGAAAATAAAAAAAAGAAAATTGAAATATTTTGGTCACTTGAAACGTCATGGAAGTCTAGAGAGAACAATAATGGAGGGGTATATGCCTGGGAAGAGAGGAAGAGGAAGGCCAAGGAGAAGATGGGTGCAGGATGTGGCAGATGATCTCCAGATGGGTGTATCAGACGCAGGACATCTTGCTCAGGATAGGAAGGTTTTCCGGAGGGTTGTTATGGCAGCGAGGTTCCGCGAGGGACATGCTACTGAATGAATGAATGAATTAATAAAATAATAAAAAAAAAAGAATACTTGGATGTGATCTTGAATTGTGTACACTAGAACTTTGTTCTTAACTCATTTAGTCCCAGTCAACCTCACAGCGAGTTTACTGGTTACTCCTGACATGATATGACTTTTCTCAGTACTTTGTTCCCCAAGTAGCTGTTAGAATAACCTCTTCACCAACCTTTATTGTGGCTATTTTAACCTCTATGGATCACCTACGTTGATAAGACCAGTCGTTTTATATGGCTGCACAACTAAAAGAGATGAAGCCTTATTACAGGTTTTTGAAAACGGAGTTTTACGACAAATCTTTGGACCCATCAAAGATGCACACAGCGGTGAATGGAGAGTAAAAGCAACAACAGAATTTATAATCTGTTGAAATCACCACTGATTACTGGCCTCATGAGAGCTAATAGACTTAAATGGTTGAGGCACATTGAAAGAATGTCAGATGACAGAGAAGTAAAAACTGTATACATGAGGGAGATGAATGGTCGTAGACCACGAGGCAGACCAAGATGACGATGGAGAGATAATGTCCAGACAGATCTGCAAACACTTGGTGTCACTAACTGGAAAGAGAAGTCCAACCAGAGAGATGAATGCAAAGTAAAAAACCCTTTTCCACGCCATTAGGCTTACATGGCATATAGGGCTAGACCTATATTTTTATAGACCAATCAGCACAAGACGGGTGATGTGGTCATCATCACCCCGACTGCCTTTACTTCCCGGGACTGCACCCAGTATCCACTCAAGGCTGGGTCGAACTGGGAGCCAAGTCATTTTTGAAAAAAGTCCGACTCCGCCAGGGAGCGAACCCATGACCTTCCGATCTGCGACGAGCGTATAGCCCCTCGGCCACGGCGACTTCCGGAGATGAATGGAAGCGGGTGAAATCTGCAGCAATGAACCTCAAGGGCTCGGAATGCTGAAGAAGAAGAAGAATGTATCACCTAGGACATGTTTTTTAATTGTTTTTCTAGTTGTTGTAGCTCTCATTTTGATTTTGATTTTGTATTGCTTTTTTTCCACCCATACTGGAATGTGCTCAGCGATTCGTTTCTCTAGTCATTAGTCAGTTCTGCCCACATAAGCAGCTTCACAGCTACGTTAAAATTTTTAGATACAGTTTGATCTGAAAAGGTACACTAAAATATGCCAGACAATAAATTGTGTAGTCTCTTGTTCGTGTCTTCTTTGTTCAAATTTACAATGGGGTAACATTGCTTTAATTGTCTTGTCTGCCTTTTTCTGACAGCTTCTGGCTGGGGCCAAACTGGAGGAGCGAACCAAAGCCTGCGAGACGGCCCTCCATCTGGCTGCCTCCAAGGACTGCAGCACTATATGTTCCATTCTTCTGGACAACGGCGTTGACTTTAATGCCGTGGATGAAAATCTCAATAATGGTACAGAGATTTCCTTTCTTCCAGTGTTTTCTGAGTTTCTTGTTTTCATCCAGGTGTGTGTGCTAGGTGGCATCATCCAGGTGTGTGCTGGGTCACATCATCCAGGTGTGTGCTTGGTCACATCATCCAGGTGTGTGCTTGGTCACATCATCCAGGTATGTGTCCTGGGTCACATCATCCAAGTGAGTGTTGAGAACGGCGCTAAGAGAACGACTGCTCTCTAAGAAGCATATCGTAAAAGTGGACTAATGAAGGATTTGCTAAAAGGCATAGAAATCACAGCCTAGCTGTTAGCAGCTGTTAATCTAAGGATGAATGCAAATGATGAAGACGAAGAAGAAGCAGCAGTAGTAGTAGAGAAAGAAGAAGAAGCAGTAGTAGAAGATGATAATGAAGAAGACGAAGAAGTAGACAGGAAAGAGGAAGAAGATTAAGAGGAGGAGAGGGGGAGAAGAAAAAGGAAGGAGGAAAAGAATATAATTTTAGGGCAAACACACACACACACACACACACACACACACACACACACACACCCCTTTCCCCCTGCACCCACCCAACCCCATAAGTGGAGAACCCAGATGAACCTATATATTTCTTTCAATCCAGTGTTTTTGTTTTTAATTTTATTGTTCTGCGGCAGATTCCGAGGAGGCATGACCACTGTAAAATGTGAATGAAGCATAACCAGCACGCTACTTGTAAAGATATGACTTCTCCTGTTCTGCTTTCTATCCCCCCCCCCCCCCCCCCCCCCAATGGAGCATAGGCCCTCAGCAAACTCACGGCAGGTGGTTCTGTCCTTCACTATTGCATGCAGCTCTCCCCAGGTCCTCACTGTAGTTTTAACAACTTCACTCTGTAGCTGCCTTCTCCATTTTTTTCCCCCCTTTTTATTTCTATGCCCCTTTGGGTCCTGACCCAGTGACGTTCCAGTTACAGTGTTCTCAAGTTTTCTCAGTGTGTGTCTTATCCAGCTGTATTGTCTTTTCTTCTCCTCTTCGTCCACTGGAACTCGTTTATTTCTATGCCCCTTTGGGTCCTGATGCAGTGACGTTCCAGTTACAGTGTTCTCAAGTTTTCTCAGTGTGTGTCTTATCCAGCTGTATTGTCTTTTCTTCTCCTCTTCGTCCACTGGAACTCGTTTATTTCTCTCCTAAAGCAAAGTCAGGACTAGGCAGAGCTTGCATTTTTTTTTATGCTGGTACACAGCGGTGCACAGTGCCAGCACCTTTTTAAGGCATATTTGTTTTTCCCGACACTTCCTGGTCATTACCAGAACATTTTTCTGCCAAAAAAAAAATATTCTGGGGAATGGAATGGTGAAAATATCTTCAACAGGATGACAAAATTAATCACATCTAGAAGATCATATGGAGTCTAATAGATAGAGGTACAGAAGAATAGGTTGTATTTAATGGATACAAAAACACTCAGATGCAAGGGTTCTTTAAAGACTAGGATGGAAAGAGAGTTGCTAAAAGAAATATCACAGAGACTAGTGAACTGTTTTTGCCACATTATAAGACATAATACACTTTTAAAAACCATATTTGAGGGGAGAGTTGACAAGAAAATAAGAGGTAGTGGTATAACTGTGAGGACAACTGATGAATAACAGTCTGAGAGAGTGTACAATGAAGATGGGAGGCAAGATATGTTAAGAGATTGGTTGCAGTCAACCATTGTGAAGATGGGAGGCAAGATGTGTTAGAGATTTGTTGCAGCCAACCATTGTGAAGATGGGAGGCAAGATATGTTAAGAGATTGGTTGCAGCCAACCATTGTGAAGATGGGAGGCAACATGTGTTAGAGATTGGTTGCAGTCAACCATTGTGAAGATGGGAGGCAACATGTGTTAGAGATTGGTTGCAGTCAACCATTGTGAAGATGGGAGGCAAGATATGTTAAATGATTGGTTGCAGCCAACCATTGTGAAGATGGGAGGCAACATGTGTTAGAGATTGGTTGCAGTCAACCATTTTAAAGATGGGAGGCAACATGTGTTAGAGATTGGTTGCAGTCAACCATTGTGAAGATGGGAGGCAAGATGTGTTAGAGATTGGTTGCAGCCAACCATTGTGAAGATGGGAGGCAACATATGTTAAGAGATTGGTTGCAGCCAACCATTGTGAAGATGGGAGGCAACATGTGTTAGAGATTGGTTGCAGTCAACCATTGTGAAGATGGGAGGCAACATGTGTTAGAGATTGGTTGCAGTCAACCATTGTGAAGATGGGAGGCAAGATATGTTAAATGATTGGTTGCAGCCAACCATTGTGAAGATGGGAGGCAACATGTGTTAGAGATTGGTTGCAGTCAACCATTGTGAAGATTGGAGGCAACATGTGTTAGAGATTGGTTGCAGTCAACCATTGTGAAGATGGGAGGCAACATGTGTTAGAGATTGGTTGCAGTCAACCATTGTGAAGATGGGAGGCAAGATGTGTTAGAGATTGGTTTCAGCCAACCATTGTGAAGATGGGAGGCAACATATGTTAAGAGATTGGTTGCAGCCAACCATTGTGAAGATGGGAGGCAACATGTGTTAGAGATTGGTTGCAGTCAACCATTGTGAAGATGGGAGGCAACATGTGTTAGAGATTGGTTGCAGTCAACCATTGTGAAGATGGGAGGCAAGATATGTTAAATGATTGGTTGCAGCCAACCATTGTGAAGATGGGAGGCAACATGTGTTAGAGATTGGTTGCAGTCAACCATTGTGAAGATGGGAGGCAACATGTGTTAGAGATTGGTTGCAGTCAACCATTGTGAAGATGGGAGGCAACATGTGTTAGAAGATTGGTTGCAGCCAACCATTGTGAAGATGGCATCTGATTGATTTACTTGTAAAGTTGAGACACCATAATGATAGACTCCCTGTGTTGGGTTCCCTGGGTCCCATTGTGGGGGAAAACAAGAATGTTGTAGGAGTTGACTAATTGTGAGCTTTCTTCAAAGTCAGACTACATCTGCCCAAGAGGCAAGGAACCAACAGTCTGCATACATATTAGCCAGATATGTAAAAGAGATATACATTCTACACTCAGGTTCTGGAACAAGACTTTAAAGTCCCAGAGGTGGGCGAACATCCAGAACCTTCCAAGAATGAGACTGATATTTTCATGTGTAACTGTGTTTTCTCTCTGACAGCCCTACACAGAGCTGTGATGAATGGCAATCTCAACACGACCAAAGTCTTGCTGACCGAATCCTCCATTAATGCCGAAGCTGTCAATGCCAAGTATGCCACCTTGTGTGACCTGAATTTGTTTTTAAATAGCTTAATCATTTTGTTTCTACTCGGGTCTTAGTCTTAGCCAACTTCACTGCAGTCGCATCACCCCATGCTTGCTCCCATTCCCGTGCCAGGGAAAATGAAATCAAATGTCACTCACTGTCTAATTTAAAAAACTGGTGAAAAAACAATTTGTCACGGCAAAATCCAGAAATATGCACACGCAGTAAATGCATAAGGCAGTTGCTGGAGGCGCTAAAGCCAACAGTCACCTCCAGAATGTTGATGGAAGTAGTCAGGCACAATAAGTTGGCTGTATACATGTAAAATTATAAGATATTTCGACAGCCCACACGTGAACCAGCTGCCGGCCATATTAAATACCAGGACTCAACCTCTGCACATATGAAAAGCATGTCACATTAAAAACACAGCTCACAGTGCTGCATCAAACACTTAACTCTGCAGCTTAGGCGGAGAAACCGTAGACTTCCATCCATATGTGGAAACTGCATTAGCAAAGCTACAAATTCTGCCATGCCTAGTCCTACATTAAAAACACAGCTCACATTAGTACACCAAACACTAAACTCGATAGCTTAGGCGAAGAAACCGCAGACTTCCATCCATATTTGGAAACTGCATTAGCAAAGCTATACATTCTGCCATGCCTAGTCCTGCATATTGGACCAGAAGACATGTAGGTGTTTTAAAACATAGCATAACACAACCTGTGACCCCTTGGGGTCATGGAGATGTATCGAAAGAATTGCTAACACACATAGCCCGCCATATTTCTCGGTGATCCGCTTGTTGAACGAGTGTATGGTGATTTAGTCCTGTCCGTTTTTTTTGTTGTTGTCATTCCAGGTTTCTTTGCACCCCACTCTTCTTTAACTTACCCCTCAGTGTGCCTGGAAGTATAGTCTTTGCAATCAGATCATGTTTCACCACATGCCCAAACCAAACTTGCTTGCGACCACTGCCAAAAGACACTGCTGTTATATCTGCAGGAGTCCCACCATGAGTCCCATGGCCCCATTATGGGGGTGGGGGGGGGTGGGGGGGGGGGGTTATTAGACCCACTGACCCCCTGACAGGCATGTCCTAAAAGTTTCATCTGAAGTCAGTATTTGTCTGCCTGAAAGACAGCAGTCTGTATATAAGTAAGTCAGATTGGTAAAACTGATATGCACACAGAACTCAAGTCCTTGAACCAGACTAAAGTCAAGTCCAGGCAGCCAGAACTGGTAAACATAAAGAAGCAGGAAGATATTAGTGCTGTTGTATGTTTGTGCTGTTGCATGTTCAAACCTGCTGTGTTTATGCTGTTGAGAGTTCAAACCTGTTGTATGTTTGTGCTGTTGATGAATCTTTGTGCTGTTGTTGTATGTTTCTACTATTTGTTTGTTCAAACCTGTTGTATGTTTATGTTGTATGTTTCTGCTGTTGTTTGTTTGTGATGTTATTTCTGATGTTTTTATGTTCAAACCTGTTCATGTTTCTGCTGATGTATGTTGAAACTTGTATGTGTGTGCTGTTATATGTTCATGCTTCTTGTATGTTTGTGATGTTGTAGAGGACAGAACCCCCTACACATTCTGGGCCAGTACGGGAAGGACAACGCAGCAGCCATATTTGAACTCTTCCGGGAGACTATGCCAGACTATCCCATAGACAGACCAGACAATGAAGGAAACACAGGTAGGTCCTGGTGTTGCTGTTTCATGGGATGCTATACAGAACCGGCACGCTCTTTTTTTTCTGGACATCTTTTTTTGTCTGGTATATAGTAATAACTACTGTGGAGTGAGTCCTGGCACCTTTTTAGATACTTTATGTTGACTACCGACACCTTTTTTTGTGTGTATACTTTTTGGTGAATACCAGCACCGTGTTTCTGTGAAAGAAAAAAAACACGTTCGTTTCCCTGCATGTCTCTTCGTGTCACTTTCTGTTGTTGTCTGTTCTGTTTTATTGATGATACTTTCCTGGTCTTTTCTAGACTTTCCTATGCTGTATGTTCAAGATTTTCTTCACTTTGTTGTCAATTTTCTTCTGCTCTTTTTTCTTAAACTTTCGTCTCCATATTCTAGACTTTTCCATGTTCTGTATTCTAGACTTTTCCCATGTTCTGCATTCTAGACTTTTCCATGTTTTGTATTTTAGACTTTCCTATGCTGTGTGTTCAAAATTTTCTTCACTTTGTTGTCAATTTTCTTCTGCTCTTTTTTCTTAAACTTTCTTCTCGCTATTCTAGATTTTTCCATGTGTATTCTAGACTTTTCAATGTTCTGCATTCTAGACTTTTCCATGTTTTGTATTTTAGACTTTCCTATGCTGTGTGTTCAAGATTTTCTTCACTTTGTTGTCAATTTTCTTCTGTTTTTCTTTTTCATTAAACTTTCTTCTCCCTATTCTAGACTTTTCCATGTTCTGTTTTCTAGTCTTTTCCTTGTTCTGTTTTCTAGTCTTTTCTGTTTTCTGTATTCTAGACTTTCCTCCTTTCTGTTTTTTACTTTCCTGTGGTCTCTGTTATAGACTATAGTCTCTTCTCTATTCTTGACTTTTCTCTATTCTCTTCATTAGACTTTTCTTTGTTCTGTATTCTAGACTTTCCTGCTTTCTGTTGTTGACTTCTCTTTTTCTGTTTCAGATTTTCCTGTGATCACTATTATAGATTCATCTGTTTTCAGTTATAGCTATTGTTTATTCTAAACTGTCTCTGTTCTCTTTTCTAAACTTTTTCAGTTCTAGAATTTTCACGTACTCTGTTCTTGATATAATTGTTTCTCCATTCTTGTTTCTAGTTTTCTCTGTCGGAAATGTTCAGTCTAAACATAACTAAGGCATGAGCGACATAACAAAGTTTGTTTTGGAAGTTTGTGACTGTGAGGCTAACATGCCATAAGAAGTTGAAGCAATTGAATAAGAAGATGAAGCCAAAAAAGAAGATGATGAAGCAGAGGAAGAAGATAAAGCAGAGGAAGAATATAATGATGCGAGGAAGAAGAAGAAGAAGCAGAGGAGGAAAAAGATGATGCAGAGGAAGAAGAAGAGGCAGCAGAGGAAGAAGAAGATGAAGCAGAAGAAGAAGAAGATGAAGCAGAGGAAAAAGAAGATAAACCAGAGGAAGAAAAAGATCATGCAGGGGAAGAAGATGATGCTGAGGAAGAAGTTGATGCATAGGAAGAAAAAGATAATGCAGAGGAAGAAGATGATGCTGAAGAAGTAGATAATGCAGAGAGTGAAGAATGGAAAGGTGAAAAGAATCTTACTCTTGTCAGTTCTTCTTTGTCGTCTTCACTTCCTCATTTACCACTTCAGGTGTCAAGGGAGATAAAAGATTCTTCTTGCTCTTCTGGCCACGTCAGCCATAGTCACTCTGTACTGTTAGAGTTTCTCTGATGTTATCTTTCCATCTTGTTCTTGGTCTACCTCATGGTCGTCATCCATCTCCTCTTTTGGCATATGCTTTGCATGGTACAGCACTACAAGACATTTTCCCAAGAAAACAGACCATTAATTTGCTGTCTTGGTAGGCCGTTTAATATTGGTTTTTATGACCTAAATTTCCTTTGAAGTCAAGAATGCATCCGGCAGAAGGGCGAGGAACCAACAATCTGCTTACAGATTAGCCACATCTGTGAAATGGATGTGCATGCAACACTCAAGTTCTGTAGCAAGAATAAGTTCAAAGGTGGACGAACAACCAGAACTTTCTGCCGCAGTTTACAGCTGGTGAACGCGAAGCAGAAGAAGATGACTTATGTCATTTCTCTTTGACTTCTTTCCTAATTTTATTTTTATCCTCATCGTGTTTCTCCGCAGTAATATTACTAGCCTATCTGAATGGTAATGGCAGCTTGTGCCGGGCGCTAGTTCGTGCCGGAGCCTGCCTGGGTCAAGTCAACAAGCAGGGTCTCAGTATATTCAACGCTCCAGTAGCAACTAAACAGTTATTGTTTAAACTTTTGGGTAAGTTACCGATTTGTTGAGAATCAGCAGAGTGTGTTGAGAGGGGTGGGGACTGGCGTGCTCCGTGCGGAGTGACGGGCATCACTTCAGAGGTCCCTGGGAGTTGGCGTCCTTTGGATTTTTTCCAGATAGACTGGACGGTTCTGCACCACTTGCTGCTGAACTAATGTATGACAAGCTGGATGTTGTAAGGGCCCTTTGGGAGCAAGTGAACAGTGCTGAGGCACAGATAGATCATTACAGTCTGAGGTGAATGGCACTGCGAGGAGTTACACGAGGATCTGGCCGACGCTCAACACCCAGGAGAAAGGCAAGACAATCAGACAGTTGCTGGTACCATTGGAATTTAACTCTTTGCTCGCTGCTGAAGATAGGGACGGAGTGCTTATGGGGATGTCTTGAGTGCTGTGATGTCAACTCCTAATTCAATATTCAACATTTCTTGTCTCTGACAGTCAGGTTTTCTTAGCTAGCCTAATGAATGAGGAGCGGCTGGCCAAACAGTTAAGTACACTGGGCTCTCAGGTTTGAATCCTTAATAAGGATGTGGATTTTTCCTGTCGGAGGCAAAAATAAAATCCTAGCCTGCACAGTTTGTGGCGACAGCACCAGCTTGCGGCCCTCAATCCTCAGGCTCAGAGTCCTCTGCCCACACTTGGTATACACAAGTAGTAGTGGTTTATATATATATATAAAATAACGGTTCACTTATCGCTTACTACCCGTGTGCCATGATGTTGGTCCGTTGTTCAAACCACAAACCTCTCACTTTAAACCGACAGTTTAGTTCTTTCGGTACAAAACAGTTCATTGTACGTTGTTTGGCTGCTCCACATATGGCTGCGTAGGCGCCATAACATGGGGGTGACAACAGTGAATGTTTATAAATGACAGCGGAAATTACACATAAAATTAAGACTTTTCAAAATAAATGTTAAACGAGAATTCTACGAATATTTTGGCTAAACAAGATCACAAATAAAGAACTGAGGAAGAAAACAGAATGTGCATCAATGGCAAATGTTATAAAAATAAGACGATGGAGATGGCTTGGACATGTTTGCAGAATGCCGTGTCACACTCTGGCAAAAACAGCTCTCCGGTGGACAGCAGATTGGAAAAGGAGATGTGGACGACCTAAGGAAACCTGAAGAAGGACAATAGAACAGGAAATGAAGAAATGTAAACTGACATGGGATACCATGGGAAGAAAAGCAGCAGACCGGCAGCAGTGGAGATCAACAGCGATATGAAGAGGATCTAGAGCTTATGCAATCCCTTTCCAGCATCATCGCTTACATGTGCTGCTTCTGATTTCACTCTTATTTGGTTGGTTGGTACATTGTCATGGCTGCGTTGCTGGTGCCTTTCGGCCCAGACATCTGATTTCATCAAAACCTTAGTGGTCATCTGTAACGAAAAGCTGATTACGGGGCAGCAGAGCTATACTTTTTCTCCTAAAATGGAGCCCTGGAACCCATATGTTGGGTGACATAAAATCTTGAGCTGAAAACGGGAAGATCTAGTAATATTTTGAGCCAAAAAGGGACACACTACTAATATTTGGAATTGAAAAGCGGGAAATTCTACTAATATTTTAAGCCAAAGGGAGACCTTCTACTTATGTTTTGAGGCAACCATGGGATATTCTGCTAATATTCTAATACAAAAATATGACATTCTACAAATATTTTGAGAAGAAAACAGGACATTCTGCTAAGTTTTTTAAATAGAAAAATGAGAAATTCTACTAATATTTTCATATGAAAACAGAAAATTCTATGAATATTTTGAGATGTTAATAGAGCCTACCCGTAAAGTCACTATATGATTGGTGTATTATTACAGACATGCTGTGTAAAGAGCCACCCTGGAGTGATGGAGAAGCTTGCCTGGAATGTTCAGCAAAGTTCACAATCAAGACAAGAAAGCACCATTGGTAAATCAGCAGTTCTTTGTTGCTTGTAATTTTCCACAATTGTAGATTGATTTCTTGTCCCCTGTGGGATTGATTGATTTCTTATCCCCATGTGGGATTAGCTTCTTGTCCTTGTGTGGGATTAACTTCTTGTCCCCATGTGGGATTAACTTCTTGTCCCCATGTGGGATTAACTTCTTGTACTTGTGTGGATTCATTTTTTTTTTTTTTGTTCTTGTGTGGTAGTCTTCTCTTCTTCTTCTTCTTCGATCCTTCTGTCAGAAAACTTATATCAGGAGGCCGGTAGCCTTTATGAAAGCTATCGTGCAATCCATATCCTCTTGTGTACCATACAGTTTTGTCTTCATTGTGGTTGGAACAGGCCAGATTGCGTCTCTGTTGTCAGCATACAGTTGACAGTGTTGGAGCACATGCTCAGCATTTTCGGGTGCCACGCTGCAGGGACACGTCTCCGTATTTCCTACACCGAAAAATTTGAACATATGTTGACGAAATCTGTTGTGCCCTGTCCTTAGTCTGAATATAATAGACTGTCCCTCTCTAGAGAGGCGATGAAGTGAGTCTTGGGGAGAAAATCTGGTGTGGGTATCCAGCCACCTTTCTTGGATACTAGATTGTATTAGTGTTTTCATCTCTTGGTGGGTTAAGTCGCTATTTGGTTGTACCATGTCACTGCCGCTTCTGGCCAATCTGTCCGCTATTTCATTGCCTTCCAAGCCACAGTGACCTGGAATCCACTGCAGTACAGATTGTTCTACTGAAGAGCCTAAGTAAATCAGCTGTTGCGTCAAGTCTACAAACTGAGTGTCTTTTGGGTTAACAATTGCTTGTAGAACTGACATAGCATCAGTCAGAAAGACCACTCTGCTATATTTGCTGTGCTGTTTGTCCATTCAGGAAAGAACATGCCGCTAGAAGTGCTTCTGCCTCTGCTCTGTAATTGGAGGAATATGAACCTGTTGGTACAGCCTGGTTGATTTTTAAACCATTTGGGCATTCTATGTATATTCCTCCTCCTCCGTCTCTTACTGCTCTCTTGGCTGAACCATCTGTATACACTCGAATCCAACTCTGGTGTGGGTAAAGTCTATTGATCTCTCCTTCTGTAGTTGATTTCATATCAGTGCTGCTCATTGATGATTTGGAGGAGACCCCTGTTACAGTGGTTCTGACTGTTGGTAGGCTATCCCTAAGCCAAGCGGGGCAGTCGTTGTAAGGTTTAAGTGGAACATTTGGTATTATGGGAGGGAGTTTAAGGACAGCGAGCTTGGCATTTGCGTTCTTAATAAAGCAAGTTCTCTTTAGTCTAGCCTTCTGGGGTTTCTGTAGTCGGCTGTACATGGGTTGTTCTTGAAAGTGGTGGTATTTGGAGAGCTGGGTGAGGATCTTTGTGTCTCTCCTATCTTCCAGATTATGGAGACCAGTAATTGTTTCCATATCTGATATGGGCGTGGAGCGCATTACCCCTGTCATAATAAGGAGAGCATGGTTTTGGATCTTTGAGACTTTCTGAAAATTTGATTTAGCTGCTGTGCCCCAAGCAGCTATTCCATATTCTAGTGTTGGCCTCACATAGCCTGTATAGGTCCTCTTAAGGACATTGAGGTTTGCCCCCCAGTCTGTTCCAGCTAACTTCCTCATCAGTTGTGTTCTCTTGAGTCCCTTGCTCTGTGTCTTTTCTATCTGTTTTCTCCATGTGAGTCTTGAGTCAAAGGTTACTCCTAAATATGACGGTGAGTCATCATGTATCAGTGCCTGGCTGCCATATCTAAGTGAAACTTTCTGGGGTTTGGTAGAGAGACTGAAAATGGTGTGTGGTAGTGATTGATTTCTTATCCTCATGAGGGATTGACTTCTTGTCCTTGTGTGGGATTGACTTCTTGTCCTTGTGTGGGATTGACTTCTTGTCCTTGTGTGGGATTGACTTCTTGTCCTTGTGTGAGATTGACTTCTTATCCTTGTGTGGGATTGACTTCTTGTCCTTGTGTGGGATTGACTTCTTGTCCTTGTGTGAGACTGACTTCTTGTCCTTGTGTGAGATTGACTTCTTGTCCTTGTGTGGGATTGACTTCTTGTCCTTGTGTGGGATTGACTTCTTATCCTTGTGTGAGATTGACTTCTTGTCCTTGTGTGGGATTGACTTCTTGTCCTTGTGTGAGATTGACTTCTTGTCCTTGTGTGGGATTGACTTCTTGTCCTTGTGTGAGATTGACTTCTTGTCCTTGTGTGGGATTGACTTCTTGTCCTTGTGTGAGATTGACTTCTTGTCCTTGTGTGAGATTGACTTCTTGTCCTTGTGTGGGATTAACTTCTTGTCCTTGTGTGGGATTGACTTCTTGTCCTTGTGTGGGATTGACTTCTTGTCCTTGTGTGGGATTGTTTGATTTCTTGTCCCTGCATGGATTCTGGGCACCCCATTTGGTGGTGGTGGGGGTGGGGGGGGGGGGGGGGGGGAAGACTAATTGGAGTCTGAGCGCATTTGCCAAAGAGACGAGGAACCAACAGTCTGCATACAACCAAGCACGTCTGTTAAATGAATGTTCTCTCAAAATCCAAGTTCTGGAACCAGACTAAAGTTCAGAACTGGATGAACTACCAGATCTTTTTGTCAGAGTTCACTAATGATTTCCTAATTGATTGTTTGGTTCATGTTGTAACTTGGTTCATGTTCTTACTTGATTCACGTTGTAACTTTGTTCATGTTGTAACCATCAAAAGCAGGAATGACATTGTACAAATTCGTGAAACCCAGAGCCCAGTGGGTCCAGTTTTAAATAGCAACTTCCTCCCTGTGAGTTTTCTAAGGGCCTAATTTTTAAGGAGCAAAAGAATTGGCCCACTGCTCCCTCACAGGTATGTCGTTAGAGGTGATTAAATACAGATTTGCTGACCCCGTGTGGGTTCAATGGCCCCATCATAGGGAAAACAAGAATGCACCCACTGCCTACCCACAAGCATGTCGTAAGAGTCGACTATTTGGGAGATTCCTTCGAAGTCCGAGTGCATCTGCCTGAGAGGCAAGGAACCAGCAGACTGCATACAAAGGGGTCAGATCTGTAAAACGGAGGCACACGCAACACTCAGGTTCTGGAACAGAACTAGAGTCCAGAAGTGGATGAACAACCAGAACTTTCCGCCAGAGTTTACAGCTGGTGAACACGAAGAAGAAGAAGAAGATTTGCTGAAACAGGAAATGTTGGCTGAAATATGCAGATATGAAGCCCAGCTGTAAACCACAACACAATGTGCCACCCATTCTTTTAAGGGTGAATGTAGAAGAAGAAGAATTATTGTAATTTGCTAGATTAATTACAACAAGTTGTTGAGATTTATGACATCAAGATGTTTGAACTAGTGACATCTTCTTTATCTTGTGTTCGATTTCTGATTTACACCGATAGACAAGTTCTTGACTGTTTTTAGTAGTTCCCTTTTAGTTCCATACAACTCAGCAGGCAAATATTTCCTTCCTGATGGGCTGTACAAGGGACATTCTTGCAGGACGTTCTGTAGTCACAAGGGCACAATGGTGAACTATTTATTACTGACATTAAGTAGTTGTTTGGATTAATGACATTGCATTGTTGGGATTAATAACATTAAGAGGTTAAAATGAATGACATTAAGGTGATGAGACTAATTATGTTCAGATTTTAAGATTAATTACAGTTAAGATTAAGTATAATGTGTTAAAATGAACTACATGAAGATGTTTAAGCGTTGTTAGTCCATGATATTTAATAAATGACCTGCAGTAATCTCCCATGCCATGTAACTAATGTGTGCCTGTTGTCTCCCTGCCAGCCGACACTGCGGTCGCCTGCTGTGTGCCAGGTGCTCCAGCAAGGACATGCCCATCATCAAGTTCAATCTCAGCAAGCCAGTTCGAGTCTGTGAAGTCTGCTTCGATGTTTTGTCCATCGGTGGCCAGTTCTAGCTCCGTCTGGTTGATCACTAGTGAGATGAAGTCTTCTTCGATGTTTTGCCCATCAGCGGCCAGTTCTAGCATTGTCTCCTTGACCACTAGTGAGGTGTCATGTGTGGTAGATATTTTGTAGATACTGTATATGTCAGGCTTGCTGGATTGTGAGATTTGTGGTGAGGTAGGATGTGAGATTTGTGGTGGTGTAGCATGTGAAGTGTGAGATGTGTAATGCAGTAGGATGTGAAATGTATGGTGAGGTAGGGTGTAAAATGTATGGTGAAGTATAATGTAAAATGTGTGGGAGGTAGCATGTGAAGTATATGATGAGGTATGTGAAATGTGTAATTAGGTAGGATGTGAAATTTGTGGTGAGGTCAGATGTGAGATGAGTATTGAGGTGGGATGTGAAATATTTGCTGAGGTAGGATGTGAAATGTCTGGTTATAAGGTAGGAAGTGAAATGTCTGGTTATAAGGTAGGAAGTGAAATGTCTGGTTATGAGGTAGGATGTGAAATGTCTGGTTATAAGGTAGGATTTGAAATGTCTGGTTATAAGGTAGGATTTGAAATGTCTGGTCATAATGAAGGATGTGAAATGTCTGGTTATAAGGTAGGATTTGAAATGTCTGGTTATAAGGTAGGATTTAAAATGTCTGGTCATAAGGAAGGATGTGAAATGTCTGGTTATAAGGCTGGATAGGAAATGTCTGGTTATAAGGTAGGATATGAAATATCTGGTCATAAGGCTGGATAGGAAATGTCTGGTGAGGTAGGATGTGAATTGTGTGGTAATGTAGGATGTGAGATTTGTGGTGAGGTAGTATGTGAAGTGTATGATGAGGTAGGATTCAAAATGAATGGTGAGGCAGGTTGTGAGATGTATGATGAGGTACAGTATTATGTAGCGAGCTGGGATGTGAGGCATGCTAGATTATAAGAAGGATTGGTGCATTAGATATGGAGACGCAAAAGGGCTACAGTGTGATGTACAGTAAGATTTAACCCTGTTATTCTGAGAGGACCACATATAGCCCTTCCGGTTATAACATTGTTCCATGAATGCAGTAGCATCGGTATTTCTGCAGTGGTCTGTTGCTGGAAAAGTGTAATTAAAATGCTGTTGGTTCTGTTTGCACCTGTGCAGTGTTTAGGAGACCCAGATATGAATATATTAACTAAAAATAACATTGGGGACATGGGTAGTTTAACTCTAGTGGCTTTTTTAAAGCCCTATTGACATCACATTTTTCTGTAAGCTTCATTGATGTTTTGTTAGTTTAGTTTAGGCAACAGATCAACATCATGGCACATGGGTGTAAACCCCTAAGTGCTCCGTTCTACTTCTAACTCAAGCCTGAGCCTGAAGAATCTCAGCGCAGTGCACGAACTCCATTGCACCGGCGAGGATCCTGAAATTCTTTTTGGGTAGATTTTTAACTCCAAACTTTGCCCGGGAAACGCCGTTAGGCTGCTCTTTTTGATTTCCAACTGCCAAGGTATTTTTTATGTGCACAACATTACACACAGGCATCCGGTCTTACTACCCAGAGATCAGGAGAAATTACAAGAAGTACTCATGAAAAAGTCCCAGCCTTCACCTGGACCTCCAGCACTCGAGGCAGATGCCATACCTTGAGACCACGCAGCCCCCTACGCAGCCTAACCTCATTGATGTAGGTCACATAATGAGTCACCTGGTATTTGTTTAGGTTCCCTGTTTAATACTTCACTCTATTCCGGTTTATTGATTATCGCCTTTATTTTGAAAAACAACAAATGTTTAATGTAAATAAATAAATTTTAGACATAGTAACCGCATTTATAATAGGTTTTTTTTTTTACTGGGAAGGCTAACACGGTCAACAAATGCCCACAGAAGTCGGATGTGTTAGTCGAAAGGTGCAAATATCGCAGCCATGCTGTAAACGGACACAACGCAATTACATCTTCGGATGATCGCAGAAGAAGAAGAAGAAATGTTTTTTCATTAATTTCAAGGTTTGTGAGCCCATTTTGTTTATAGAAGCATTCATGGAGTGAGAGGGTGACATTTTTAGAGGTGGGTGCATGACATTTCTAGTAGGAATTATTTAGACTATCACATCACTTTTCTGTGATATACATGATTGTGTCATCAGGTTTCAGTGACATTGTGATTGTACCTGATGGCAATGTGATTGTACCTGATGGCAATGTGATTGTACCTGATGGCAATGTGATTGTAACTGATGGCAATGTGATTGTACCTGATGGCAGTGTGATTGTACCTGGTGGCAGTGTGATTGTAACTGATGGCAGTGTGATTGTACCTGGTGGCAGTGTGATTGTACCTGGTGGCAGTGTGATTGTACCTGGTGGCAGTGTGATTGTACCTGGTGGCAGTGGGATTGTACCTGGTGGCAATGTGATTGTAACTGATGGCAGTGTGATTGTACCTGGTGGCAGTGTGATTGTAACTGATGGCAATGTGATTGTACCTGGTGGCAGTGGGATTGTAACTGATGGCAATGTGATTGTAACTGATGGCAGTGTGATTGTACCTGGTGGCAGTGGGATTGTACCTGGTGGCAGTGGGATTGTACCTGGTGGCAGTGGGATTGTACCTGGTGGCAGTGTGATTGTACCTGGTGGCAGTGGGATTGTACCTGGTGGCAGTGTGATTGTAACTGATGGCAGTGTGATTGTACCTGGTGGCAGTGGGATTGTAACTGATGGCAATGTGATTGTAACTGATGGCAGTGTGATTGTACCTGGTGGCAGTGTGATTGTAACTGATGGCAATGTGATTGTAACTGATGGCAGTGTGATTGTAACTGGTGGCAGTGTGATTGTAACTGATGGCAGTGTGATTGTACCTGGTGGCAGTGGGATTGTACCTGGTGGCAGTGTGATTGTAACTGGTGGCAGTGTGATTGTAACTGATGGCAGTGTGATTGTACCTGGTGGCAGTGTGATTGTAACTGATGGCAGTGTGATTGTACCTGGTGGCAGTGGGATTGTAACTGGTGGCAATGTGATTGTAACTGATGGCAGTGTGATTGTAACTGATGGCAGTGTGATTGTAACTGATGGCAGTGTGATTGTAACTGGTGGCAGTGTGATTGTAACTGATGGCAGTGGGATTGTAACTGATGGCAGTGGGATTGTAACTGATGGCAGTGGGATTGTAACTGATGGCAGTGGGATTGTAACTGATGGCAGTGGGATTGTAACTGATGGCAATGTGATTGTAACTGATGGCAATGTGATTGTAACTGATGGCAGTGGGATTGTAACTGATGGCAATGTGATTGTAACTGATGGCAATGTGATTGTAACTGATGGCAGTGGGATTGTAACTGATGGCAATGTGATTGTAACTGATGGCAGTGTGATTGTACCTGGTGGCAGTGGGATTGTAACTGATGGCAGTGTGGTTGTACCTGATGGTAATGTGATTGTATCCGATGGCCGTGTGATTGTATCCGATGGCCATGTGATTGTATCCGATGACAGTGTGATTGTACCTGATGGCAGTGGGATTGTACCTGAAGGCAGTGTGGTTGTACCTGAAGGCAGTGTGGTTGTACCTGAAGGCAATGTGGTTGTGCCTGATGGCAGTGTGGTTGTACCTGATGGCAGTGTGGTTGTACCTGATGGCAGTGGGATTGTACCTGAAGGCAGTGTGGTTGTACCTGATGGCAGTGTGGTTGTACCTGATGGCAGTGTGGTTGTACCTGATGGCAGTGTGGTTGTACCTGATGGCAGTGTGGTTGTACCTGATGGCAGTGTGGTTGTACCTGATGGCAGTGTGGTTGTACCTGATGGCAGTGTGGTTGTACCTGATGGCAGTGTGGTTGTACCTGATGGCAGTGTGGTTGTACCTGATGGCAGTGTGGTTGTACCTGATGGCAGTGTGGTTGTACCTGATGGCAGTGTGGTTGTACCTGATGGCAGTGTGGTTGTACCTGAAGGCAGTGGGATTGTACCTGAAGGCAGTGGGATTGTACCTGAAGGCAGTGTGGTTGTGCCTGATGGCAGTGTGGTTGTACCTGATGGCAGTGTGGTTGTACCTGATGGCAGTGTGGTTGTACCTGATGGCAGTGTGGTTGTACCTGATGGCAGTGTGGTTGTGCCTGATGGCAGTGTGGTTGTGCCTGATGGCAGTGGGATTGTACCTGAAGGCAGTGTGGTTGTGCCTGACGGCAGTGTGGTTGTGCCTGACGGCAGTGTGGTTGTGCCTGACGGCAGTGTGGTTGTGCCTGACGGCAGTGTGGTTGTACCTGAAGGCAGAATGGTTGCACCTGATGATAAAGAAAAAGCATGTATTGTGTAAAGACAATGTCAGAACGAGAACTCTTTTAATAATGCATTTAATTTGTTTTTCTGTGGATGAGTGACTGGTTATTTTTTTGTAGTGAAGACAGCACAAAGTTAGGACATTAATGACAGCAGTTTTACTGTCATGTGTTTTTATGTCAGTGTTTTTATGAGAGCTACATTTGAGATATATGAAAACAGATCTTCTTCCACCCAAAGGTGTAGAAATTTCTTGGTTCTTTAACCTGTGGGTATCATCCCTCTTCCTCACTCAGGGGTGTATCTCATCTTTCTCTCAGGAGTGTATCTTGTCATTCTCTCAGGGGTTATCTTTTCTTTCTCTCAGGGGTGTATCTTGTCTATCTCTCAGGGATGTACCTTGTCTTTCTCTCAGTGGTGTATCTTTTTTTTTCTCAGGGGTGTATCTTGTCTTTCTTTCTGGGATGTATCTTTCTCTCAGGGGTGTATCTTGTCTTTCTCTAAGTGGTGTATTGATATCATTAAGTCTGTTCGTTTGTCTTTTTCTGTACTAAAGTGTAACTTTTCTTTGTTTTACGAGTTATCTTCTTTTTTCTAAAGTCCATAGGTATGTGAATATGGGAAATATGAAATGTTATTTGCCGCTGTTGCCTGTCCCAATTTTGATTATTGAATACTACCGCCACAGTTAAAGCCTGTATGGACACAACTCTTTGACACTTTTCAGTTACCAG